GACTTCAAATTGAAGATGTAAAAGATAGCATCTTACAAATGAAGTTTTCATGAAATACCTTTGATGTTGGTTCTCAATTAAAATCTTGGATTCCAATAAAGCGGCTGAAAAGTGTTTTTTCAGGGAGATTGTTTTCCCAATAAGTAAACATCCAATTGTAAGTTATGTGCCATGTATCATTAAATACAGCAAAGGAATGGAATAATGCATTAAATTATCAGTAATAAATTTGTACATCTAATAGTTTTGAATAAAGTATGTTTATCAGATTTGATGTATGCTTGGATGTATGTAATAGAATAATTTGTATATGAAAAATACTATTCCTTCACACAATTACATACACACATGGTATACATTTAGAAAGAAACCCAATTATCTTGTGTTAGTAAATGGATTATTTATTTGGTTTTTTCTAAACAGTGCATAATATCCTCAAAGTTGTGGCATGTTTGATTTTGCAATGATCAACACATTCGCGTTCTATAAAATGTGCTATTTTTCTGCTATTAGATTTATATTACAATTGATTTCTTTGGAACAATTTCCAACCATGGAAGGTCGATTGTAATTTATGTGGAGTAATTTTGGGTCATTTTAATATCCCGTGCGATATGAAAGACTAGTTAATATGTAAAACTCCTATGTTTTAAGTGAAAATCTCTTTAATAATTTTATCTTGGTCTTTTATGATCAACGTAAACCGCAATAATGTTGTAAATAGGAAAAAAAATAATCCACACATTTAAAATGCATTTAATAAAAAACAGTTTTGAAAAAGATTAAAACAAAAGGGCAAACAAAAAGAGCAACAAAAAAAACATACGGAGTCATACATCAATACAGAACTAGTCAAAGAGCATGGTTAAGAGGGTAATTTTGTCTACGGAGATTACTTTAAGTACGGCACTAGTTAATTAGGGTGCGCAAAGCTGGATCAACTGATAAGCCTATTTATTTTTATTTTTGGCATGATAAGCCTATTTATTAATCAAGGTATCGAGTAAATTAGCAGGAAATTAAAATGACTACGATGATCTTTATATATATAAAAGCTCAATCGTGAACTAAATATGCCAAATCTGACCATTGAATTTTTACACGTGTCCCAAGATGGTTAAACGTAAAATTTACATGCGTCCCAAGGTGGTTAAATTTAAAATTACATGTGTCCCATGAAGATTAAATACAAAATATTCCTCAACATGCACGACCCATTATCTTTGCCATTCACACATTCAACACGTGGCAACTCCTCAATGGTCATCCAGTCCAGTGGTGGGACAGTTGCAACACGAAACACCCGTCCTCAACATGGCACAACTACGGCAGTTCAACCCCATCGCATCATTATATATATTCTGCAACACAATGAAGTTCAAGCTATCAAATTCAGGACTAGACTTTTTTTAACTTTTCTTAACATTATGTACTACGTAATTACGGAGTATTATACGAATAATTAATATCATTCCACTGCAATTGCAGAGGGTTGAAGACGAGGTTGAAATTCAGGCATTAAGAAATTACACGTGTCAAATAAGGGTTGCATACAAACTGGCAACTCTTTGGCTTCTTGAAGCATCCATAAGTGGGTATGGACCGTACGGTTACATTTCAACTTGCACGACTTGGACAAGGTGGTTTCTTTTATACAGTTTTCACCCACTGGCCATTATATATGACCTGCGACAGAAATGAATATGGAGTAAAAGCTATCAAAATCAGGCATACACATAGCAGCAAGTTTCTACATCCTATATTCCTATATCCATATTTTATAATGTAAAATCAATATCATTTTATGAAGTACATAGTATTTAAATACTCTGCTTAATTGTTGCAGCATGTTCTGGACTAGCATCGAGAATGTTGTTGAATAGGATTTCAGAGCTTCAAACCTCTAAGACAAATTGGGCGTTGCGAGTGTGGCTGGTGAAAGAACCGGGTCGTTTAAGGATCGGATACAGGAAGGGAGTCTTTACATTTTAAGAAATCTAATTGTAACTCCCAACCCGCTGAAATACAAGACAACAAATTGTGCATTCAAAATCACTTTCAACCACATGACAACCATGGTCGAATTCATTGGTGATGAGAAGTTTCAGACCAATTCTAAGGCTTCAAAACGCTCATGAAGTTGATGAAAGGAGAGTTTTAGTATGCGGTTTGACATACTACATATTTTGTTTTTTAATTATTTCTTAGAGTTAACTGATGTTATCGGCTAAAAGCAGTATTGAATGAAAATGAAAATTCTTACAAGTTACAAGCATAAGACAAGGGTAATCCAAAAAATTACCATGAGAAAGCTAAAGCCACAATACGGTCATTGGGAAGAAGCCCAAAGCAACCATTCCAGGTACTTTTTGGATTACTATTTCCAATTTCTATTTGCTCTTATATTTTACTACAGAGTATTTTATTAATATCATTAGGATTCTATGACTTAGTTTTCTCACTTAAGATAATACAGAGTATATTTTAATAATTTATATTATCCAGAGATTAGTAATATAATTCTTATTCATAAAATCAATTAGGACATAGTAAATAATACACTCCAGGTATGTTCAATTTATTTGGTTGATAAAAAGCCATTATTGATCACCTTTTATTAATACAGTTTTTGATGTAATGTTAATGAAAACAAGTGAATTTGTGATTGATTATCTTCAAAATTAAAATTTTAATGTCAACTTACTTGGATATTCCAATTGTTTCTGTCTTCACTATAACCTTCTCTTTTCAATCCACCTCCAGTCACTTTGCAGCAGCACCTGAGACATATAACAGATCAACCCGAAATTGTTATAACTTAGATGTCATACACTCTGTAAAACGTTTGGTCAATGTGCCATTAAATTGATTAAACATGTTCAAATATAATAAATGGTTGTCTATATATACACATATAGATACAAATCCACATATATTTAAATATACATACACACACATACACAAAATACTTGAACACTGACAAGAAATACTTAAAACATCACATAAATATACATAACCATTAAGCTCATACTTCGTACAGCCAAAATAAGCAGCAGCTGCAAAAATGAACCATAGAAATTCTGAAAGACCAATAAACTATTTACACATGAGTAGTATTTATATACTACTCAAATATGGTTGCCAAAAAACAAATTTGGATATAGGTTGCTGACAATCTCTTTTACTTGGTTGGATAAATGTATATTTGATGAAGAAACAGAGATTAATGAGAAAAGCAACAATTTTTTAATACCGTAACTATAATATCATGAAATTTATAAACCGCAATGAATCAAATGCTAACAAGTGAGAGGATAAAAATCAAATTCAGAAGACTTGATAATTTAAAAGAAATGAAGTGATAATCTAGATGAGTTAAAATTTTGATTTTTTTTATATTTAAGGTAAATATAAAACACACAGCTATAATTTTTTTTTAAATTATATCAAAAAGTTCGTAACAATTGTCTATCTTTTATCAAACACCTATCACTTCCAGATGCTTTTACCTTCGGAGTATCTAACTGTCGTGGACGTATTAGCTGAGATGATAGGCAAAATACGAAATAAGTTCGTAATTATAAAAATAGTTTCTATGTTTTATAATATCAAAATGTATGTAAAACTTATACCATGCAATGGATGCATATATCAGATTATAAAACAAAATAATAGTTTCTAAGATAAAGGTCGCATGAAAAAATAACTAAATTAGATGCTACATCTATTAATTTGACAACAGTATGCACAGAGGAACGTAAGCTAACCCTGAGGAGATTCCGACTAACATTCAATTTTTTAGATAACAATAAATAGAACCACACTTACCAGTTGTGTGAAATGAACCATGCACGACTTTGAAGACAGAATGGAGGAGATTATGCAGACAAAAAGAGGATGAAGCGAGGGGGCCATGGAGGGAGAGACGAGAACGCTGTCGGCAGCTTGAATAGGCCGGTCCGAGAAGCGAAAATAATACTCCGTATTCAATGCTTAGCTTAACAGTGAACACATAGACAACTTAGGGTTGTTGTAATTGGGTTGAGTGAGTGGGTTGTTGTAATTGGGCTGAGCGAGTGGGCTGTTGTAATTGGACTAGGCGGGTGATAATATGAATTGGAATTTATATGGGTCAAAATTAATTGGATTGCTAAAATAATTAATGAATTTTTTTCGGGTTGCACATTCATTTAGACTGAGATGAGTTTTGAACTTATGACCTCCTCCTTGAGAGTATCACAACGATTTTATCAAACCACAATGCTATCGAATCACAAGGTTCTTAGAAAATAATTAATGATGTTATACTTCTAAAATAAATACTCTGTATATTGAAGAAATATTAGAGCCCATTAATAATAATCAAATTCAGTCCTTTAAAAAAACAAATTCAGCTGAGTTAATTGAATTTGTTGAAATTTTGGCTAAAGTGTTTGCATTGATTAAAAATTTGAATTGTGAAAAATGTATTCAAAATGTAATTTGATAATGGATTAAAAAATACACATGAAAAAAGCTGATATAGTTTTTACAGAATTTTTGTCAGAAATTATATTTCAACTTTACTTATTTTGATTATTATATACTCACTCTTCCTCACGTGGGAGAGTGATCCAGCTCAGCCGGTTGTGACTCACTCTCCCTTATGAGAGGTTTCGAGTTTGAAACTCAATACAATGAGTTCCAACACTAATTAATATAGACCCTTAACCTCCCCCAGAATCAAAACTTTCGCAGTCAAAAACATTTTATCCCGTGCATCGCACGGGTACTATACTAGTTGATATAAAAAAGATGGACGAACATCTTAAGCCCAATATCGACAGACTTTTCAGCATCAAAGAAAACGGCCGCCTCCCACCGCCGCCTGAACCTGGAACAAATCGGCTGCTTATGACGGAGAAGGGTTGCCGGACGAAGGAGAAGCGTCCATTACTGCCGCCGGAGACGGGGCGAAAAAACTGACGATCAAAAGTCTTATCGGTCATGGCGCCTATGGATTTGTCTATAGCTAGAGGATCTTGATGTAGCAGGTAATAATCTTACAAATTAACATGATTTATAAATAATTTAATTATATATGGATATATTTTATTTTATTTTATTTTATGTATCTCGTCTTTAATTATTTGCGATTTTTTTTTTGTATGTATCATTCTGAATTTATTCATGTATCTGTCAATTATTATTACGTAATTACGTGTTAAGGGTTTTGATAACCATTATTGCATGTGTAAATAGGTTTAATTTAGAAAAGAATGCACCTGTATATGTTTTTCATTCCCTACAGCTCTTTTTAGTTCGTTTAACGACTTCATGAAAGGAAGCCCTCGGCCTCTCGTTCCCTACTCTTTAAGAGTTTTACGACATTCACATGCTCTACTTTCACTACATTTTACGATATTATTTTATGAAATTATTTTTTAAAAAAAATATTATTCAATTCATCTCATTACAAATTTTCAAAATTTGATTTTTAATTTTTTACTAATAGAGATTAAGATATAATTACGATCAAAGACGTGTGTTGACAAATGTGAAATGTTGACCATTGGAACTAAAAAAGAACAAAGGAAGTATAATTGTATACTATTATAAGTTCTTTTTTACCAAACGTATGTATATGAGTTAAATATACATATGGTTACATATAAGGGCCGATATAGCTCTAGGCCAGGTAGGGCCAGGCGCAACCTTAAAAAAATTACTAGCATATACAAGTATATGTATTATACTATATGTAGTGTTGTTAAATAATGGTATAATTACAAATGAAGTCAATTTGGGTATAAATTCCGTGTTAGCAAGATGGAAGTGTTATTGGAAATACTGCATGCAAAGGAATAATAAATAAATAATTAAGGGAAAACGTAAGATTACTTGTAACCGAGCCCAATGTAAACGTTGTTTCCTTAAGACGTTTTTGCCCGACACACGTAGCAAGCTTCTCCTAGGATAGAACGGTTCTTCGCTCCCAAAGGGATTCTGGCGAACTCAAAGATACATGGAAGATGAGAGAATATGGAGGATTGAGTGTTGATTTTCGGATATCCCAAAATTGAAGACAAGGTGGGTATTTATAGAACTCTGGCCAGGAGTCTCTAACCCAAAAGACACCTATTAAAAGAAAGTTCATGACCTTTCTTTTAAAACGAATAGTTGTGTCTTCTATTTGGTTTTATTCGAAAAGGAATAAAAACGTAGCAAAATAATCTCCAGTCTTTAGCCATACGAAGATGTCCGGTGAGACTCGAACCCGACCCGAGCCAGCCGACTTACGGCGGCGGTGTGAGCGGGTTAAATATAATTCCACGCTTATCTTTCGGGGAACAATTTCTCATTCATTTCAGAATGGTTTTTCCAAATAATATTAATGACCATAATATTAATTTGTAAAACCATTTTTCCAACAATCCCCCCACATGATCGAATGGGAAATTGGCTTAAAGACAGGAAACAGATTGGAATTTGACATGGGAAGATGGGAACTCTGCATAGGGTTAGGTAGTCGTGAAACTTTGAACCTACCTTAGTGTATATCCATCGGATTTACAGGCCAATCAGTGTCCATTTCTGCCTTGAACTGTCAGCCTTAGCGTAAACCTATACAATGAATAACACACAGAGCCCCGAGTGCATCTTTGGTTCTCACGTTTGTGTTCGTTTCGGCCTTGAACACCTCCTGGTTCAGCTAGTGTTTTCAAGAGTATATCGTGCACCGGAGAATTTATCTCGTGCCATAGACTCTCATAGAAGCGGCTTTCTTCCACCAGCATAGGTGATCTCTATGGAAGGTATCATGTCATACACTCATACCTTACTTGAACTTATCAAGATATAGAGATCATTAAAAGCGTAACTTACCCTAAGTGCTCATGACATGAGTGTACTATATCTTGGCTAGTACCGCCCGAGCCAGTCCACGGTTGTGTTTTCCCTTTGAACCTAATTATGAGGCACTCTCAATAATAGGTAGGGTTTCCCCATGGACTTTTTATTGGATCATTGGCCGTAGGCCCATTGCTCCTTGACGTTTCGACCAACTCTCTCGGTAGAGGTTTGGTTAGCGGATCCGCAATATTTGCTTTCGACTTAACATAGTCAAGAGAGATTATCCCATTTTAATTAGTTTTCTAATGGTATTATGTCTACGACGGATGTGTCTAGAGTTACCATTATAAACTGCATTCCTTGCCCTTCCAATTGCAGCTTGACTATCACAATGAATGGATATTGGATGGACAGGCTTTTCCCAACAAGGAAGATCTTCCAAAAACTCTCTCAACCATTCAGCTTCTTCTCCAGCCTTATCTAAGGCAATGAATTCAGCTTCCATGGTAGATCTGGCAATACATGTTTGTTTGGAAGATTTCCATGACACGGCACCACGACACATATCCACTTGTTGATTTTGTATCCTTGGAATCGGATATTCAATTTGCATCAGTATATCCCTCTAGCACGGCTGGATATTTTTGAAAATGTAAACCATAGTCTTTGGTGTACATCAAATACCCAAGCAGCCTTATAAGCACTTTCCAGTGTTCTTGAGCTACATCGGGTCGTGTTCCATTCATAACATATGTCAAACATCCTATGACCCGAGGATAGTCATCTTGTGATACACTTTCTCCTCTATTTTTACTGAGGTGAACACTGGAATCAAAAGGAGTTCTCATGGGTTTGATATCATACTTCTTGAATCTCTCAAGCATTTTCTCAATGTAGTGTGATTGAGATAATATCAACCCTTCAGGTGTTCTGATGATTTTAATTCCTAGAATGACATCAGCAACACCGAGATCCTTCATTTCAAATTTCCTGGCCAACATACTTTTGGTAGCCTTTATCAAATTACTATTACTACAAAAAATGAGCATATCATCTACGTATAGACAGACTATGACGTAGTCAATTTGATTGCCTTTCACGTACACGCACTTGTCAGCCTCGTTGATCTTAAATCCATTTGACAGCATTACACTGTCAAATTTATCATGCCATTGTTTGGGGGCTTGCTTTAACCCATAAAGAGATTTTACTAAGCGACAAACCTTTCTTTCTTTTCCGGGGACAATAAAACCTTCAGGTTGTTGCATGTAAATCTCTTCTTCTAAGTCACCGTTCAAGAATGCAGTTTTTACATCCATTTGATGGATTTCCAAACCCTTCAATGCAGCTATTGCCAATAACATTCTAATTGAAGTTATTCTTGTAACTGGTGAATAAACATCAAAGTAATCAAACTCCCCTTTTTGGTTGTATCCTTTGACAACCAATCGAGCTTTGTATTTCTCAATAATTCCATCAGTTCTTCTTTTCTCTTTGAAGATCCATTTACATCCTAGAGGTTTAGATCCAGGAGGCAAATCTACCACTTTCCAAACGTGGTTAGACATGATGGAATCAATTTCACTTTTGATAGTCTCTTGCCATTGTGCAGCGTCTGGTGAAGACATGGCTTCCTTATAAGTTTGAGGCTCATTATCTAATAGGTACACAACAAAATCGGGTCCAAAATTCTTAGATTTTCTAGCCCTTTTGCTGCGTCCCATTTCACATTCTTCCGCCACTTCATTATTATCATTTATAGAATAAAAAAATCTCTTATGTGAATTGGTTTCTTCAACATGGGTTGGAATGAAAACATCCATGTCGGAGGAGACAACTTCACAATCTCATTATATGATTTGTGGACAAGGAAACGATATGCACTACTATTTTGTGCATATCCAACAAAGACACAATCAATGGTCTTTGGTCCATGTTTAGTTCTTTTAGGTTTAGGAATAGCTACTTTCGCTAGACATCCCACCACCCTCAAGTAATTGAAACTTGTTTTTTCCCCTTTCCATAACTCATATGGAATCTTGTGTGTTTTCTTGTGGGACATTCTATTTAGAATGTAGTTGGCGGCTAAGACAGCATCCCCCCACAAGTTGTTTGATGCACGAGAGCTAACTAACATGGCATTAACCATGCCCTTTAACGTTCTATTTTTCCTCTCGGCGATTCCATTAGATTGAGGTGTATAAGGAGTAGTAGTTTGATGAATTATTCCATTATAATTCAACCGATGTATTGTCAACCATTTTAAAGTCTAAGAAATGCCTGACAATAAACTTCTTTTTGCCGGCATCCTCAGTCTTGTATTTTTTCTCAAGTGATTCCCACAATTCTTTTGCCTTTTTTATATCGGCATACACAGAGTATAAAGAGTCATCAAGTCCGTTTAGGATATAATTTCTACACAAGAAATCCGAATATTTCCACGCATCCACCGCGGCTACTTTTTCCTTATCAGTCTCGCCTTCCTCTAAAATAGGTTGGCTTTCGGAGAGACACTTTGCCAAATTCAACGTTGTTAAATAAAATAGCATTTTCTAATGCTTCAGTACATGTACATGAGGTTTAGTGCACAGAAGCAGGGGTATTTTGCAGGTCGTAGACCCTTAATTGGGTTAGATGGCTGCCATTTGAAAACACCTATGGGAGGGCAACTACTATGTGCTGTAGCTAGGGATGGAAATGAAAACATGTTTCCTCTTGCTATAGCATATGTGGATAGTGAAGATAAAGCTTCATGGACTTGGTTCTTGCAAGTATTGTTTCAAGACTTTGGCAGGCCAGAGGAAACTAACTGGGTTTTCATGTCTGACAAACAAAAGGTAATAAAAAAGTACTTATTTCTTGTTTAAAATATGTGAACAACTTCTTTCTATATATTGTGTTTAATTGCTACCTTCTTTCAGGGTTTAGTTGAGGCATTTAAGGCTGTGTCACTTGCTAATGAACACAGATACTGTGTGAAGCACATGTATGAGAACTACAAGAAAATCTTTAGAGGGGCTGAGTACAAAAAGAAGCTCTGGTTTGCAGCTAGCACTGGAAGTCTGAGGTCATGGGAGAGGCAAATGGAAGGAATAAAGAAGTTTGATGAGGCTGCTTACAACTGGATTATGCAGTATGACCCAAGTACTTGGAGCAGATCTCATTTTTCAATTCAAGCACAGTCTGATGCTTTGCAGAATAACATATGTGAGTCATTCAATGCATACATACTTAGAGCTAGAGATATGCCTATTTTGAGCATGTTTGAGTGGATTAGAAGAAGGTTGATGGCTAGGTTTCATGTTAAGTACACTGCCATGAGTAAGTATAAGGGTAATATGTGTCCTAATAAGCAGGATCTACTAGAAAAATTCAAATTTGAAAGTAGGAATTGCTTTTCTACTCCTGCTGGGGATAACTTGTTTGAGGTTGATTTCTATGACACTAGCCATGTGGTTAATCTTAGAGACAAGACTTGTACATGTCGAAGGTGGGATTTGAATGGGATCCCTTGTAAGCATGGAGTGTCTGCGATATATGCCAATAGAGAGAAACCTGAAGACTATGTGAGTGTTTTTTATGCTAAATCCACCTATTTGGCAGTGTATAAACACATAATCTATCCTCTACCAAGTAAAGATGAGTGGGAGAGAACATATACTCCAGATATTGAGCCCCCAATTCCTAAAAAACCTGCAGGAAGACCCAAGAAAAAAAGGATTAAACAACCTGATGAAACAAGGAATCCCTATAAGGTGTCTAGGGCAGGTAAGCAGGTCATATGTGGCAATTGCAAGCAAGTGGGTCACAATGTTAGAGGGTGTAAGACTTCCATAACTGGGGAAACACCATGGCAAAGGAGAAAGAGGTTAGGAAAACAAAAATCTGCCAAAACAACCCTAGGTGGTGATGATGACATAGCTGACCCAACCTCTCATGACCTAGAGCAGACTGAGAATAATGAAACTTTTCATATGTCAACTCCCATTGCCCATGATCCAGTTTCCCAAAGGGATGAAGGAAGAACAAAGAAGAAAAGAAGAATAAGCAGTTCACAACCACCTCAACCATCAGCCAGAAGAGTGACTAGGTCCTCAAGTTCACAATCCTCAATGGTAGTATTTTGTTTTTCATTTTTACTGTAACCTAATCTTTAGTGTGTTTTCTTTACACTTATTGTGATCTTATTACTTCTTTCAGGATCCAGAGCACTAAGGATGGAGTGAGGGGAAAGAAGTAATCATGCAGTTGTAGTGTAGGGAGATGAAGATTGGTACTTTAGAAGATGTGTTATGTTTACAGTTCACTTTTATGTACTCGTCAATCATGCTTTTTATGAGCATGTGTTTTGTAATGAAACTTATGTAACAAACATCTTTGGCATGTGTTTTGTTATGAAGTTGTTGTATGACATTGGCAGCTAAGTTCTTTTGGGTCCAATGTTACTTGTTATGAAGTTCTTAAACCACTGGCATGTAATTTGTGTTGGGTGAAATCTATCTTTATTTTGTCCATTTCTCTCTCTTTTGGATAAGTAAACAGATTGGATCACTTTGTCCATTTTATTTTAACTTTGTAAGTATTTTGGTTCATTTGGGTATACATATGGTGCTATGGTGCAAGCTATCATTCTGGTTTTGGGTTTTAGGTGTATATATATCGATTGTGTGATATTTATTGTTATGGTTTTGGGTATATAAATGTTGTTAATGGATGCTGTCAAACCAAATGTTAGGTAATTGTTCAAACCTTTATATATATAGGTATATATATGCTCTAAATGGATGGATGTTATCAAACGAAGTGTTCTGTTTTACAGGTCTCTTTTGTAAAACCAAATGGGCTGTATTTGTGAATGAATCCTTGTGAAACCAAATGCTTTAGGCATGTTGTATTATGCTCTGTTTTTCAGTATATGTGGATAAGAGACTTCATACTTCATACATTAAAGAACTTCAAACAAAGTTCATATATCAAGCATCAAGCATTGTTACATTTCATTACACATTACACAAAGGAAACACACTACAAGTGAAAGTGAACACAATGACATCTAGTTCAGCCATTTCATCAAACACATTGACAACAACTTACACCTAAACCCTTCTAATTACAAAGAAAATAAAAAATAACAGGGCCACACAAAGAAGCTTCCACTTAAAAGTCAGATTATCATTGTTAGCCATCTTCAATTGCAGTTCCATGTTCTGCACCTTCAGAATACCAATTCCACGAACGCAGGTCTTCATTTCACCCTCCAGCTCCATCACTTTCACCCGGACATGTTCTTCAAGTCTTCCAACCTTCTGAAGAACCAAATCTAAGTTCTCCTGACAAGTACGACATGTGTCCTCCTCAACCCACTCAAAATATTTGCATTGTTGACCACCGCCACTTGAATAACGCCCACAACCATGAAATCTTTTCCCTATATTCTTCTCTGTTGTCGCCGTCCAAATCGGTGCTTGGACTCCACAATCACACCTCTTCACTTGTTGTCTTCCATCCATGGCAGATGAGCTTGAATTTGAAGAACTCATCTTTCTTCTTCGTCACACCCTAAGCGCCTGTGGGAGGAGAGATGTATTCAGAGTGTTGTCGTAGGGTTTCAGATTGGGATTGGCATTACTTAATAATAGGAATAATGACATGGTGCTTCAAGATTGGGATTGCAAGCCACGTAAGCAGATTTGTGGCAAATTATGTTCCACTTCAGCATTAAATAAACGGAGTCAAGACGGGGACCCCGCGGGTGGTAACGGTAGCAAAACACGAAGGTGTGTTTGTTACAAAGTTTATCACAGACCCCTAATTGAAAACGCCCGCAACCACAGATATCTAATCCGTACTTTTCCCTAAATTTTATCCAATACTTATGGGTGAGAAAATTCTTCTACTCAATTGTTATGCGGTTTATCTTATATCTAAGGACATTACATATGAGAGAAAATTCTTTCGCTCAATTTTTAGTCGGCTTATCTTATACTTAAAAAAACTACATATGAGAGAGATAGTTTTCCTGTTCAATTGTTAACAAACTTATCTTCTGATCTCCTAATAATACCTAAAAGACTACATATGAGAGAGAAAATTTCTCTGGTCAATTGTTAGCCTGCTTTTTCTTAAACATAAAAGCATACGTATGAGAAAGATAATTCTACCGCTTAATTGTTAGCCGGTTTACCTTTTTTTTTATACACCAGGGGGCGTCGGGGTAGGGCGTTTGGGGTAAACTGAGATCAATCTCACTGCTTCCTCAAGCCGGTTTGTCTTATACTTAAAAGAACTACATATATGAGATCTCGCTCAATTGTTAGCAAGTTAATCTTCTAACACCTAAAAGAACCACATATGATAGAGAAAATTATCTTATACCTAAAAGTACTACATATGAGAGAGAAAATTATCTCGCTTAATAATTTCGAACACAATTTACATTTTTTTGTTTAAATAGTTATTCATGTTTACGTGTGTGTCTCATATGCGAATGTGAATTTTTAATTGTCTCATATGAATATGCAAATTTACGAATGTGAATTTTTAATATGAGAGAAAGTTATCTCGCTTAATTTTTAGCAAGTTTATATTTCTTATGACACAATTAAAAATTCACATTCATATGAGAGACACACATAAATTTGAATAACTATTTAAACAAAAAATGTAATTTGTGTTCGAATTTGAACGTCGCTAAACTTGGATCGTTAAATTGGATTCAAAATCAAGCTCGAACTCGGGTAGTTCAAAAAAAGTTATGTTCCGTAACAACCGTACTATAAGCTAAATCTTGTGTGTGCAGCAATATATTCTTTTGTCTGCTTAGCTCACTCTACATTTCATTGATGGATTTGCCTCTGCTTACACTTATAAGGAAATTAGTTTTACATAGGGATATATCTATTAAAACGTGACATTTTTCTGAGATTCTCATTCTTAATCCACCATAAGCAAGTACATTTACATTTTTGAGTAATTTTCATTTATATAAAGAGACTATTCAAACATGTTATTTTTTTTAATAAAATATGATAGATTTAACATTATGACATTTTTAACATTGACATTCATATTTTATATTTTCCATTTTACCAATGATATATTTTTTGCCGCTTTACATTGTTTTTTAATAAACCTTCAAATATTTTTTAAATTTTATATATGCAATATTAGTGTCACATGAAAGATCGTAAAAAATTGTAATTTTTGATATATATTTTTAAAAATCAGAGTAAAAATGAAAAAGTTGTAACATTTTGAAGAAAGTAGTAATAATTTTAAAACAATGGACCCCATTAATATTGATGCCACGTTTTATAATGGAGTGGAGTGATACAAATGGTTATTATCTTCATAGAGTTGGTTCCTTATTATTAGGGAGCATTATTATTAATTAGTCCTTAAATTTGCCACTTGGCATTTGTATCATTAAAGGAGTGAAATATGGAGAGAAGGACACATATGATTCATTAAGGGTATAATAATTGTCTTTTAATGAGCTATTTCTTTTCTTATATATATAAATAGAATAGATAGATAAAAGCTAGTAGAGATGGCAATTGTGACCGATCCGATGGATACCCGCACCAAACCGCCCCGGTCAAAACGGGGAAAACCGCTTTGACCGGGTAACGGGTACGGGGAATACCCGTTTTGTTTTTACGGGTGATGGGGCGGTTACGGTTTTATACATGCCCGCCCCATTACCTGCCCCGTACCCGCCCCGTTTATTTTTTAGTTATATTTTACTACATTCTTATTTATTATTTGTCCCACAACTAATAAAAGATGATATTTTTCAATTTTCATTGGTATATATGGATAACAGATGTACTAACTATATAGTGTATGAATTTTGTTCATAATAGATCTTAATAGTCTTTTTTTTATTATAATTAGATTTTTTCCGTGATTAATTATTTTTCAGATCAAGTCTTTTTATGTTTAAATTAATTTAGGTTGTTTTCTTTCTCGTTTTGTAGATATACGAAACTTTAAAATGACGTCTGAGTCTAAAGTCGTCTAGGTGATGCCATTTTTCACCTCTTAAAATATTATTTTTATATTAAAATATCAATGACCCATTTAATAAAGCGATTACGCGCGCGGTTACCCGCAGTTATACCCGTTACCCGTTGGGGCGGTTATGATTTGGATAAAAAATACCCGTTGGGTAATGGGGCGGTTATGAGGCGGAGGAATTATCAAACGGGGCGGATACTGTTATATGTAAAACCTTCCCCTATCCGCCCCGTTGCCATCCCTAAAAGCTAGCCCCTGCAATTTTCGTGGTTCTCTACTTGGAAAGGAAGAAAACGAAACCGTAGCACCGAGTAAAAACCAGGCCTCACCCTTCTTCTAGCCTCCAATTTCAGAAAACGAAGCAAGTCAGGCAAATCACCAATCGAAGCAAAAAACCATTCACACCGATCTAAGCCAGATAATTCACCGATCGAATAAAAACGATTCACACCGAGCAGGTAAACTCCGGATAGGACAGCCGCACCGCTGCCGCCGATAGAAACTAACTAGGTATAAAACCTAGAGACGTCCGCTTTTTCCCTTTCTCTCTGTATTTTTTGTCACATTTTTGTTAATAATGGTTATTCTAGCTATAAATATATACTACGTAGTTTTTTAATAAAAAATGTGAATGTGATAAAAATAATTAATTTTTTTTCTTGGTCAATTTATTTTTTGTTTATAGAATGAATGTGGTGCTCTAAGCAAACTGCCGAACAGATTGCAGAGGATCGATTCACTTATCCTCGCACGCCAACGGCCAACTCGCAAGCCGCCTACACAGCTACGCTTAGCCGCCTGCCACCTGCCGCCTGCCACCTGCCGCCTGCCGCCTGCCCCTTCTCAGTGCTGTCCGCTGCACGGCTGTACCGGCTGCCCTGCAGCACCGCGTGCACTTCTGTGTACCTTCAACTTCGAGGCTGCGATTCCTGATTCTGCCCAGTGCCCAGTGCCCAGTGCCCAGTGCCCAGCTCCTTCGTCCCTTCTCACCTCCTTCCCTTCTGGTACGCTTTTTTAACTCCATTTTGATTGGTATAATAATTCATAGTTATTGATAAATGAGTAGTTGATTAATTTTCCGTTAATTAGTTCAATTTCATAAATGTTGATTGTTGAGTGTTATTTTGTTCTGACCTTGTTGATGTTGTCATCTGTTGATTAGTTCATAATTTTTTACAATGTCCTTAGTCGATTAGTTCATTTTTTAAAGCTATGAGTTAATAGTTGTTGCCTTTTTGAATTTTGAGGGATTAGTAATATTTCTGTAATGTAATGAAATTTGTATTTTGTCGCGGTGTTATAATTTGTTGGGTAATTTTTTTGAACTATAATTAAATTTACGAATTTAATTAATTTCAAGGCATAATAAAAATGGTTAAATCTTGATGGGAGAAATAAAAAAAGAGGAGAAGATTGGAGAAAGCAGCCCTGAGTCAAAATGCTTCAATGGAAAAAATTTGTTTGTGTGAAGAAGTCAAATTCTGAATGTCCTCTTCATGAATTACTTGCCGTCAACAATGTCTCAACTCTCAAGAAAGCTTAATGGATAAAAATATTAAACATTGGACATAATGTGTCAGAGAAGCTTTATTATGTAGCTATCGACCTATCGTTGATGGTTCACAATGCTCGACGAGAAATATAATTTAGCAATTTCAATTATTTTCTTTACTTTTAATTTTGTAATTATGATACTACTTTGTTTAATTTAGCGAATTATAATAGTCTTTTCTTTATTATAAAGGCCTTGAAACATTATTATTATTATGCTTGTTAGCATATAGAGAAAAAGCTTTTACAATTTTTTTTAGATTAAGCCCATTATGAATTACCCGCCTCTAGGCTTTGAAACAGGCACGACCAAAATTAAGGCTTGTTTTATTTCAGGGAACACAATTTCCAGTTCTCATGGTTTGCAATGGAAAAGCCCTATAAACCTTTTACATTATATTGGATATGTAGGATGATTCATATATGCATATATAAGTCCAGAGGTTTACTTTTGTGATACTGTATTTGTGAACATATAGTTATTACAGATTTTTTTTAATAATGAATCAATAAGGTGAGCTCGGTGCATTTTATACAACGGGTTTTGAAATAATTGCCTTAAGATTTTGGGGTTTTTGGAAACCCTGTTCATTGGGAGTACAGACATTTAAAGTTGGGAGCAATGCCGCAAGTAAGGATTGTGGCAAAGAATTTCATGGACATGGTGGCTTCACTACCTGCAGTGAAGCTTGATAACCTCTACGATAACCCTTTCATCTGTGAAGCCATTCTCAGGTTTTCTTCCTCCCTACGTTTCTCGTCTATGTTATGGTATTGTGTCTTATTATGATCATGTGGTTCTTTGTTAACTGCTCAAATCTCAAATCATGGGGTCCAAAACGCCAAGTGTTGATATTCAATTCGTAGAGAGAGTGATTGTATTTGTTATTTATGATAGATCATTACCTCCTGTGGCAAAGAAGTACGTTCTTCAACTGTTATTCATAGATTCACCAACTTCAGCCAAGTCTGTTGAGGAATGGGTACTACCGGATGGATCTACCAAGCATAAAGTAGCCATTGATAGATTAGTACAGTTGAGGTTATTGGGTGAAACTATTGACAGGTTAGTGACACAATTATTTGTCAATTTTTTTCTCTCTACATTGGATTCCTTTCAAATACAGTGAGGGCCAGGGCAATAATGTAGTGTAAATACATTGAACTGATGTTGTCTTATATTTGTTGCTAAGTTAGTTTAAACTAAATACGAAGAGTGCTCAATCTGAAATTTCCTCTTCTATGTATGGGTGGGCGCTATCTTGGGTTATAAGTTAAAAGTTGAAACAGTCTTTACTATAATCTAGAGGGAACATTCAGTACTGGAAAGTTATATGTGAAGTTATATGTGAAACTGAACTGATGCTCCTTTTGGTGTATTGGATTGCGCTCAACCTCATATTTGAGTTGCCATCTTTGAATGAATTTAGGGGTTCTTCTTAAAATAATACTCCCTCCGTCCCTCAATATTTTGCCATGTTTGACTGGCACGGGAAATAATTTAGTAAAAACTGTGTGGTCGAGTTTTGTGTAGAGGAGAGAGAAGAGGAGAGAGAAATAACAGGAACCACAAATTCATTTATTAAAATGAAAAGTGGCAAAGTTTTTGGGACAACCAAAAAAAGGAAAGATGACAAAGTTATAAGGGACGGAGGGAGTACTAAAATAAATGCTATGGACAAAAATAGGACCTGTTTTTTAAAAATTTCCAAAAAAGAGACTAAGGAAACTTCTATACCCTTGAACCAAAGTGACTATTACCAAGTGATTATGACCAAACGATACCATGACTAACTACCGCTCAGTGACCACTGCCAGCCAGTGCCACCGTTGGCCCGACTCCCGAGTGACCAACCGTCACAGTGACATGCCGCCACGTGCATTAATGCACTGCCACCCCATCCAATGGCCTGCTGAACCGCCAACGACAGTTACCTTCCACTGCCCAACCCCTATGCCCACCACCTCCCCGCCAATTTCCTTACCCCCTCGCCAGTGACTTTTCCCACCCCTGCTCACCTCCCCTGCCCTTTCTTTCTCCATCCCTCGCCACTAACCAAACCTTTTGGCCGGTACCCCCCAAGGCTACACTGCTCTATGGAGCCAGCAATTCCATATCTGCGCAGGGTTAGACGGTGGATATGCTCAGCCCCAAAATCGCCGTCTGCTCCCAGATCTGACGAAGCTAGTCATTGGATGGATGAAGTTTCTCGCCTCTCGTCGCCGCTGTAGGAGTTGGTGTGTCATGGAGAAGGTGAAGCTTCAGAAGCTGAGAGAAGGGAAAGGAAACAATGACGGTATGCGCAGTGGCGGTTTGCGGACAAGAAGAAAGGAGAGTAAAAGGAGAGGAGTTGCAGCGGCAGTCATAGCCGCCGCCGTCGCTATTCGAAGCTGCCACCATTGCTTCTCGCAGGGAGAGTGGATGCAAACAATGGAGGGACGAAGGATGAGTTAGCCAGACGAGAAGGGTGAGAAGAATCAGAGTATTTAAGTCTCTACTGAAATATTTGATCTCATTTTTGTCCAAAAGAAGATCAGGTTCTATTTTTATCCATTTAAAAGCCTGAAGTATTCTTTTTGACATTATATCAGGAATTTATAATCTCATTTTTATGTAGCCTTGTTTCATTGATGTACTACCAAGTGACAACATCTCAAAGTCATGGTTAATTTTAATGAAATCAACAAACCCATGATTATTTTTCACGTATAGTTTTTGTTTTGTCCTGATGATTATGATTGTGATGTTTGAGACTCATAGTTTGGGTTATTTTATTAGGTGACTTCTTTCTCTAGTGTTGATGCTCTACTCAACCTTTTGACAGGAAAAAGGAGAAATCCTATCAATTACATCCAAAGTTCCAATTCAATCTTCGAAAGCACATAGTTCATGGGTATGCAATCCTTTTTACATTGCCTTGGGCATGGATCGTGATAGCCCTAATGTGAATTTCTACTTTTCACTATGCATACTGTTTAACCGTGCTGCTTAACTAGTAGTGGATGTATTTTTAATTTTATGTACTATGAGAGCCAAAGAGGTGGAGTTTAGTCCCACAAAACTTAGCGAGATTTCCTTATTTAGCCCTCCCTAAAAAATTTGCCACTTTCATTTAAAGTTATTTCCCTTTTCTCTGCACAAATCTCTACCACAGTTTCTATTTCATTATATGAGCAAGTCAACTGTGGCCATGTTTTGTGGGACACAGGGAGTATTACTTATGACTAATAGAATTATGGACTTATGGTACAAACTACAAAGCATCGAAAGTACAATTAAAATGATAAAAGTGTCACACACAATTAGGTAAAAGTGACACATATAACCGTAGAGAAGAGCTCAAAGTTTTCTTATTAACAAATTAATTTTACTAAACGTTAAGTATTAGTGCTTAATTACTTACAGCTCTAGCAACTTTTATAAAAAATATTATTCTACCAGCTTGTTAATTCATGGAATAATCAAGAGTATCTTTTTATCTTAATTTTTGAGATTTTGATTAAAACTCAGTTACAGATTAATATATAAGATTAATTTTCATGATATAATTTAAGTTCTTCTTAGAGTCATGAAGAATTTTTTAATTAAATAATTATTAAATATCATTCAAATAATACAAGTATACAAAAATAATAATATTGATATAATTTTTAACTTTGAAAAATCATGGCAGAAAAGTATATTTGATAAAAAAAGATGAACTTCGAGTCTTTTCTTGATAGAAGATAATGAACAAGACTTTTGAAGTTGGGGATAAAGATAAAATTCATAAAACAGATTTGTGAATGGATGATAGTTGGGGATATATTAAGGCATTAAGTTCATAATCCTTAATCATATTAAAGTATTAAACTACTCCTTATGATTTTGAAGAATGCGTTTTTTTATGATTACTGTATACTTCTGGGAGATGACCCAACATGTTTAAACCTGCACAGAATCCATCATAACCTACGACTTTAAACCTGCAGTGGAGTTTTACCAAGAGAACCAATGCCCTCAAGTATCACTGTGAGGCTTCCTACATTGGAGGATTTAGATGCATATGCCACAGAACAGTGGGAGGTACTGCTTGCGATTTGGAATTTTAAAACTTGTGTACATGCCTACATGGCCAAATAAATCCTTCTACTATTCCAGAACCATTACATATAACTATATAACCTAAAGGTGGTTTGCTTCATCATTCAGCGGGAAAAATCATATTTGGCATTTTCATTAGCCAAATGATTAAAAAATCTTCAGGTCATCATCTTCTTCACATATGTACATATATGTGTGTGTGTGTGTGTGTATTTATATGCTAAGTAGTTAACTCGCTACTCGGTAGCTACTCGATCAAGGGCTGAGTAGCGAGTAGGACCGGTTACTCGGGATTACTCGGTGATTACTCGGTCATGTATTAATTAAATATAATAATATTGGTGCCTGAGATTATAGAAATATAATAGTCTAAAAATAGTCTTTAAATTGTCTTAATATGCATAGAAGTGAATAAAAAGATAGAAATCCTATTATCCTAATGATGGAGTAGCAAAAGTCATAAAGCAAAAGTCATAAAGCAAAAGTCATAAAGCGGTCAATCATCTAATAAGTTGGTCTGATATTAATCTTCGTTGGGTTCAAGGTTGTGATTTCCTTCTTTCATCCTCCATGTCCCCAAATAGATCTTCTCCAAATAGATCTTTAGTTGTCAGATTCCACACTTATTCTTCCTCTTCCACTTCCGGGTCATCTAAATCAATATCTACGAGTCTATACGCAGACTGAGCAAAGTTCATGACTATAAATTAAAAGATTTTGTGAGTGTGTATTTATCATGAAGGAGAGGAGGGGAGATAATAAGAAATTAGACAAGGGAGAGGGGAATATACGAAAGAGGTGATATCAATTCTGACTAAAGTTCCAAACATACACACTGCCAAGGAAATATTAATATAAAAATGAAAGCTTAATATGAAAGGAACTAAATAACTAAGAAACTTAGCAGCTTGGAATTCTATAGTAAAAAATTGCGGCTACAGTAGTTTGGATAATCACATGATTGATTTATTTTTTTTAACAAGTAACAACGGAAAACTTAATAACTAAGAAATTTATTTATTTTTTAACAATTGTCGTAGCACTGTAGCACTCACAGCTCCTTGCAGTATCATTGTAGCAGTCACAGCTTCTCACAGTAGCAGTAGCATTCGCAGCTCCAAATGATGTATGTAGCATCAGTAGTCGAAGCTCCAAAGTACAAACGGATGACCAGTAGCGATTAATTTCATAGGTTTTGTTTGCACATGTCTTTTTTTTAATACCGAGTAATAGCCGAGTACTCGCCATTTTGACTAACTCACCGAGTTGATTAACTCGCCGAGTACTCGGTGAGTAACTCAGAAAATTAACTCGGACCGAGTTAAGGTGCTACTCTGCAAGGTAAGAGGCCGAATAGAGAGTACTCAGCAAGTACTCGCCGAGAACTCACCGAGTAGATAACCCAGTTTATATGTATTTTGTATATGTAAATATATACACATGCATGTACACACATGTATGTATGCATGCATGTATATATATATATACACAAACAGCTGTATGTATATCTTTTATGTATATACACACGTATGTATGAATATGCATATATACCCACACATATGCATATGTATGTATGTATGTAAATATATGTGTATATGTGTACATGTGTATATGTGTGTGTATAATATAATCCTCTCTTGTGCCATGTCTGAATTCCTGAGCTTCCATGGATGAAAACCACTTCTTTCTTTTTCATGCCTCTTATTGTTGATCCTAACCATGACGAGTGCCTTTCTCAATTGCCTGAATTGAAAAATTCAACAGAAAACAATCCCCAAATAAAGGCTGTCTTCCTCCTTGTAAAGCCCCTTAGTGCAAACATGGCCATGACTTCTACTTTCTACCAAAAAAACCTCACTTTCCTGAAAGCTTCCCCATTTTTTTGGAAAGATTGGGGTTCCATCTCCTTGTATTACTATTCCGGTTTATTCTCTGTTCCTCTCCATTTTTTTTTATCTGGGTTTGCTTGATTTCTGCTACTGTAGTGGACTAGTAGAGGGGCATGCATGGTGTTTAGTATATGGGCTGAGAGAAGGTTTAAATCAAGAAAACCATCAACACCATGCCATGGCAGGTGACTTTCTCCAAGAGGAGAAAATGGCTTGTCCAGAAAGATGAGGATCTCTCTGTGCTTCGGGATGTTGATGTGGCCCCTCATCATCATCTTCTCCTTTACGGGAAACCTCTGTCTCTAGCCTCAGCAAGTCAGCAGCTAGGACTTTCCTAAGTCACTTCCACTGAAAGAGAAAGCAAATGAATTATCCCATAGAAGCTCGGAACTCGCACAGGGCAAAGGAGAAAGAGGAAAGCCAAGAAAAGAGAAAAAAAAGGAATAGAATGGGAAGAAGAGGATGACTTGGAGATTGTTTAAACCATTGCTAATGAAAATGACACCTTTTTCGAGCTTAAGTAGCTCTCCTTCAGGTCATATGGTCTAAATAGTCATTTTAGTACATTGGCCTATGTGATGATTTGGAAATAGTAGAAGGGCTCATTTGGCACCTTTTCCTCAAAACTTAAATAAAATCTTTAATCGCTATGCTGGGTAAATGTTTACATGGATTTTGTTTTAATATTTACTCTATTTATACAATATTCAATTTTAGAAATGTTATAAGTTTTTCCTTAAAATTTTCAAAATTATTTTTTTATATTTTATTATGCAGTGTCCTCGACATACCATTGTCCTATTTTCTTTTATGTTTTCCATATCCCCATGTCCAGATTGACCAGTCATGTCCCTGCTTCTGATTCAAGTGACTAGGTCAACTTGGTCAATGCGGGTAAGCCTGGTCATTGTTGACCAAATAGTAATAAAATGTGGCATATAATTATACATCAAATTTGAGGGGGGAAACTCTACCCTTAATAATCCAATAGTGCAGCTATGTAATAAACTTAGAACACACCGAAAAATTTAGTTTTAATCCTTTTTAGATCAGGCTGTTTTAAAATCCTTTTCAAACCAGTTTTTAACTTTTTATTACACAAGTCGATTTGCCGGTCCCAGTCCTGGTCTGTACCAGGATGGCGGAGTTTCCATCTTTTGTCCCATTCATGGGTTAAGTGTTAACAAGACTGGTCTTTTGGGTGGTTAACCCTGTTCCAGTTTGACCCGTTGTCCAGTTTTCGTATTTTGACATAGGCTTCCGAGGTTGTCGGAGTTGTGATTCCATTCTTTTAAAAATATATCAATCTGAAACTTGACAAGTGATTCTGACTGGGTAAATCAGTGTTTCATGCTACACCTTATGAGCTCCACAGAAGCTGGCAAGACAATAAACATAAGGCCTTCTATGATGAAAGTTTTCCAGCGTGGCCTTATGAGTCAAAGGTATTTCTTCTCCATTTAATGTATTTTATGCATGGAATGATTAATTACATAGTCCACTTTCTTTTTGACAGAGATGACCGAGAGCAACCAAAATTGACTGAAAGTGGATTTCAGTTTTTGGTATGTGCTGGGAAATTATTTTATATCATTCATAACAGGAGGAACTGAAACCCATAATGACTAACTTCTGTTACAGTTGATGGATACTAATGCACAACTTTGGTATATCATCAGGGAGTACATAACCAATGCAGAGGTATGAGTTTTTCTGGCTTCTATTCCTCTTGTGTTACTGTTCTTATGCTTGTCCTTAAAAGCACTAATACAACAACAACATCCAAGCCTAAATCCCTAAAGATTTTGGGGTCGACTGACATGAATCGATTGATATCAACGCCAATAGGGGAAGATATGGAAAATAGAAAAATGTAAGATAAAATGGATAAGATAAATATATCTATATCTATATATAATACATTTGAAGGTTACAATTAGGGAAAGTATTGCCACATGTCAACTCCATAGTTATCGTTTTAAATTTAATTTCCAAATTAAAGGAAAGTAATCCTACGTACGTATTTCATATAGGAATTACTCTAATGTTAACCTATTATTTAGGGTCCTAACAAAATATTTGATTTCTGATTGTTATAATTGTTTTAATTCATTTGTATTCTGATTGTTATAAAATATATCAGAATAATTTATCAAAATTATGTTTTAATAATTTTATGATTGTTTTATAACAAAATATATTCATGTAGTTATGATTGTTACTCTAATGTTATAATATATCTATATATAATTCATTTGTATTTCTGATGAATTTTATAAATATTTAATTGTTTTAATTCTGATTTTATATACAAATGACACCCATATCAAATACACAAATATATCTATTATAATTGTTTTAAATTTTATAAATATTTCCAAAAGATGTATGAAAGATAGAAGAACATAAACAAGATAAAAGTTAAAAATAACATAAGAACATAGAAAGATAAAGAAGATAAAAGATAAAAGAAAGAGAAAAGAGATCATTGTCCACGTGAATATGCGCCCTCCACTTTGATCTCTCCAAAGTCATACTCTCATCCAACTCAAGAAGAAGTATATCAATTCTGATTCTCCTAATCCAAGTCTGTTTGAGTCTTCATCTTTCTCTCATCCTCGCTCTTTTCCCCACCTCTCAACCTTTTCTAATAGGTGCATCAATCGGTCTTCTGCACGCATGACCAAACCACCACAATCAAGACTCCTAGATAATTTCTTCTATAGGTGTTATTCCCACCTTTTGTCTAAGTATCTCATTCCTGAAGCGGTCTTTTCTGATATGTCCACACATCCAAATCAACATACGGATCTATGTTACACTCATCTTTTGAATGCGACATTGTTTCATTGCTCAACCGCTCAACACTCGATTACATAGAAATCTTGATGCACTCTTCCATTTCATCCACCTTGCTTTGATTCCGTGGGATACATCTCCATCTAACTCGTCATCCTTTTGAATTATGGAATTATGGAGCCCAAGTAACGGAACGTAGTAACGGAACGTATCGCACACCGGTATCTCCTTGCCATCAACGGTAATCCCATTGTTACTACTACTTCGACCTCCACCAAACTTGCATTCCATATACTCAGTCTTACTTTGGCTCAGTCTGAAATCATTGGTCATTCATGTTTATCAGCATACTTCAAACTTTGTTTTAACACCTGATTTTGTCTCATCAATCAATACAATATCATCGGCAAACATCATGCACCACGATATATCTTCATGAATTGACTTCATAAGTTCATCCATGGCTATAACAAATAAGAAAAGACTCAGACCGATCCTTGGTGCACTCTGATACTAATGGAGAACTCTGTTATATTCCCTACAGTAATACGGACACTTCTAGTACAAGCCTCATACATATCCATGATAATACTGATATACTTACGTGATATGCCTTTTCTACTTAAGGTCCACCAAAGGACTTCTCAAGGTACTCTATCATATGCCTTTTTTAAATCAATGAACACCATATGTAGATCCTTTTAAGTATCTCTATACTTCTCCACAATTTGTCGGACCTCAACTGTTGAGTGTCCAGGCATAAAACCAAACTAATTTTCCCAGATTTTCACACTTTTTAGAGTCTTTGCTCAATCACTTGCTCCCAAAGTTTCATGGTATGACTTATAAGCTTAATACCTCGATAGTTGGCACATTTTAGTACATCAACCTTATTTTTAAATAGGAGAGTAAGAGTACTCTTCTGCTAACTCAATGCATTTTGTTGTTTATCCAAATCATGTTGAAGAAACGTGATAGCCACTCGATGCCTCTCTCCCCCAAACTTCTCAAGGTCTCGATTGGTATGCCATCTTTCTCAGGCTTCTTTAACTTCTGTCATTTGGATCCTTCTCACAAAGTCCCGATTTACCATACAATTTGATATAGTAAAATCATCAATACCTTGCACTTTATTCTCGCTGAACAAGGTATCAAAGTATAACCTTCACCTCTCTTTTATTTCTTCGTCTGTCATTAGTACCCTTTGATCTACATATTTCACACACTTAACTACTCCGATATCTTGAGTCATATGATCACCAATGTAAGGGATAGGGTCATCTCGTGATATCTGTTATTGGGATAGGGATAGACACACTATAGTGCTTTACATTAAAAGTATTTCAATGTTAAGAATAAATTAAATAAGGGATAGGGTCATTTCGTGATATCTGTCATCTGTTTTTTAATGTAGGAAGGTGGAGTGGATTCTGCAGATCTTATAGCATTTCTTTTGGAGCTCAGTTTCCATGTTGCAGGGGAGGTACTCTGATCTTATCCCAGCATTCTTACAGTAAATTCCCAGGGTTTTCTTAACAGAATATATTTAGTCCCTCAATCCTGTAAAATAACTTCATCTATTCCTTAGACGGAACTTAAAATTCACAAGTACTAGTTTTTGGGTAAAATGTTTCCATTTAAATATCATTCCATATATTTAACATTCTCTCTCCATCACTTCAACTTCTTTCTCTTAATCTCATATTTTGCTTAATGAATATTGTATTTACCTTCTATCTGTTTCCATTTAAATATCATTCCATATATTTAACATTCTCTCCATCATTTCAACTTCTTTCTCTTAATCTCATATTTTGCTAAATGAATATTGTATTTACCTTCTATCTTTTCTATCTTGAGAATATGATGGAATAAATCAAAATGGCTCACCAAACTGTCTGCTCTTCTTTGTTATGAAGCAGGAGTCAGTCCATGCAATTTTGGAGGCGATTTTCATTATGGGTCATTCGGAAACAGTCTCTCTGTGCTTTAGTACAGGGGTAAGACTGCGTACATCCGACCCCCCCCTTACCCCACCATAGGTGGGAGCCTTTGCGGCACTGGGGTAAATGATGATTGATTTTTTTTCTTAATAAGCTTGTCTATACCTACAATACAATATTTTACCTTCTATCTTTTCATTGGGACAGAGAAAGTATGTTTCTAAGCAATATATGTGTGTATAATTGTATATGGGAATATTTTTAGACAGAATACAGGTTCATAGTGAACTATGCTTGAGTCTGTCATCACCCTATCGGGTGTAACTGAATCTATCATATCTCCTAGGCGTACAACACGAACACATTAACCGATGTCCAGCGAAATATATTAAGGGACCTTTCTGATCTGGGACTTGTCAAACTACAACAGGTAAATGCTAGCTAGTATCTCAGAAAAAACTTTTCAAGTTTCGATGATTTGTAAATTTTTACAATCCGTACAGTGAATATCCTCCCCCGTTCAGGGACGGAAAGAGAGTTGGTTTATACCTACCAAATTTGCTACCAACCTTTCAATTAGCCTGTCAGAGACGTCGTCGAGGAAACAGGTATAACATAAACATATTGACAATTATTGATAGGGACCTACCTATTAGAATAATATTAGAAGTAATAATAATAATAATAGTAATAAGGGTCTAGTATAAATAGATGGGAAGGGGAAGTAGTAAGGAGGCTTTTAGACGATTAGTCTTGGGACTGGGAAAGATAGGAGACTAAACATCTCTATCTGTTGGGGCTTCGGCCAGTGTCTTCTCCTGTAATCGATCACTTTCATCAATAAATTTTCAGTTGATTTCTTGTTAATTTTCTGTAATTGTTCTGGAATTCTGGAGGTTCCTATCATTGGTATCAGAGCAAAACGATCTTGTTACCTGTAGTCCTGTACTGGAACGATGGAAGATTGGGGACTGTTTTGGGAAAAGAGGCGTGAAGAAAACAGGAGGTTTTGCGAAAAGATGAGCGAAGATAGCAGGCGTTTTTGCGAAGAGATACGCAAATTAAGCTTGCAAAGAAACAATCGTCACTCGCGAGGAAAGTCGAGGACCAAGTCGCAGAAGGAATCACCGAAAGAGACTGAGCCGCGAAAGTCGCAGGAGTCATGGAAAGAGCCGCGAACTGTTTCGCACTCGCGAAAGAAGTCGCGCGAAAAAGTGGGGAAACTCGCGGAAAAGGAGAAGCGAGGAAAAATGGAGAAAGAGAAGTGGTCAACCCTAAAAATGGAAAAACACTCAAAACTGGAGAAGGAGAAGCGTGCTAAGAATGAGGAAACGAGGACAGTACTGGACGAGGTACGCACCAAGCTGCAGAAACGTCACAGGCGAGGACGATCGAGGACTGTGCGTCGTTGCAGAAATTCGAAAAGCAAAGGTTCGTCGCCTACTTCTTCTGGGTTTTCTGGCTTCCACGCGAGCAGAGGTTCTTACTAAGCAGGTTTCTTCATTCGCTGGATCTCACATCTCATCATGGCTTATACCTTCAGTTAAGGAAACAGACCCTGAAGAGGAGGTTGATCAATCTTCGGAAATTTCATCAGATAATATGGAAGGTTCAGAAATACTTAAACGAGATATACTTACTGATGATATGAGCTATGTTAACATTCTCAAATTGAAACCCTTAATTGATTTCGTTCCTGAACTTGGATTGGGTGTTCCCATGAAAGGGCTGAACCAGATTGATGGTTTCCTAATTGATGGTGTTAACCATATTAAGAACATTCAAGATAGGTCGGAAATAGGATTTACTGAAAATTGGAAGATTGACACTAACAGATTCCTGATGTCTAATCATGAGATCAACCCTGCTGTTTTCCAATTGGCTTTGATATGTGGTGAACATGCAAGGAAAATACCATCAATTTGTATATTGATTCAAGAGAGGAACTGGCTTAATGTTTTAAAACTTGTAATGATGGACTGTGATATATTAAACATTGCTTTGGAAGGGGTGAAGTCATTGCACAAGTCTGATAGTTTCAGATGTGAGGGTGTTACTTCTATGATAGATAATCAAAATGGGTTGGAAGGAAAATTTTCTGGGAATGTTACAGAGTATGAGGGATATGTTTCTGGTGTTGGAGTTGTCATGTATCTGATGTTTGTTAAAGATCTTAATCCTGGTCGTTTCCCTGAGGCCATTATAGGAGGTGAAGTGGTTATGGGACTACCAGTAGATGGTATAACTGTTCAAGATAGACGTGTAGGTTTTGATTACAGTTATCATATGGCAAGTATTGATCCAAGACACAAAATACTCATGAAAAGAGGTATGAACTGGAAAGAGGACAATGTGTTGAGCTCAATTGTTTTTTGGAAATGGATGGGGAAGTATGTTACTGATATTTTTGAATATCAGTTGGGTAAGATCAGTATGGCCCGGGATCCTACTATTCCGGCTACTATTAGTAGATGGAAGACTGAAGCAAATGGACAGGTGAAAGTGAAACAAGGCTTGAAAAGTGAAATGTTTTCTTCTGGTGCTGAATCTGTCTATCTTCAAGAAAACCAAATTTGGAAGTTTTGCATGGATAATGGGCTTTTATGTTCCTCGGTTAGGAGAAATGCAACTGGAATAGTGGATATCCTTACCAACCGGCTAAAACCTTTGAGGTTTTCCTTCTCAAATATGTTGGCTACTGAAGATGCTGAAATTTCAAGAAGTGAAGCAACTGAAACTCGCAGATTTGAGTTATATCCTGTAGCAAGAGCTATTAGCATATGGAAGAATGAGCAAGGAATGATGGGTGAAGATCAGCACCAGCTTGAACAAAGACAGGACTAATATTGAAGCTTGGAAGGAAGAGGGGCTATTGCTGTTATTGCTAGAAGCAGTGAGAAGTAACATTCAAGTCATGAAGTTAAGGATCCTGACATTTGAAAGATATTGGGAAGGAAGAGGAACAAGGAAGAGGAAGAAGAAGCAGAAGATCTGGGCTGTCTCCTACCGACCACCTTGAGGGCAAGGTGGATGTTTAGGGGGGGAGTATTGATAGGGACCTACCTATTAGAATAATACTCCCTCCGTCCTGTTGGAATGTTCCCACTTTCCTTTTTTGGATGTCCCAATGAAAAGTTCCCATTTCCCTAAATGGAAAGTTATCCTACATCAAAACAGTGTCAAACAGTGTCCAAACAGTGTCCAAACAGTAAAATTTATCCCCTGGTAAGTTTATTTCCTTAATATGTGTGTAGGTCAAACCGGGAACATTCCAACGGGACGGAGGGAGTATTAGAAGTAATAATAATAATAATAGTAGTAATAAGGGTCTAGTATAAATAGATGGGAAGGGGAAGTAGTAAGGAGGCTTTTAGACGATTAGTCTTGGGACTGGGAAAGATAGGAGACTAAACATCTCTATCTGTTGGGGCTTCGGCTTTGGGGGCTTCGGCCAGTGTCTTCTCCTGTAATCGATCACTTTCATCAATAAATTTTCAGTTGATTTCTTGTTAATTTTCTGTAATTGTTCTGGAATTCTGGAGGTTCCTATCAATTATTTCAACCATTAGTTTAATTAATTCTGACTGAAAATCTGAAACAACTCATGAAGTCATCGTGGTGTTAAAAAGGATTTCATTTATTTCTTGATGATAAATTCTGACAACTAAATACTCATAGTGTCCCTCGTGTGTTCTGAAAGTCATTGTGGATTATCAGTGCTCTATCAAAGTATTGCACCTCCTTTCTGCATTTTACTACCCCCTTTTTGTGTTACCATCAGGGATTCGTTGTCGTTGAAACAAACTTCAGGCTGTATGCGTATTCCTCATCAAAATTACATTGTGAGATCCTACGCCTTTTTGCTAGGTAAGCTAATTTAGTTTCTGTTTCCCATGCATTAAGGATGATAAATATGTGACAAGCATATGTCTTTCTCTAAATGCTTTAAACCTTTGACTCGATGGTTTTATTTCAGCATTGAGTCAAATGAGCCACATTTCGACTGAAATAGTCACTAATTTGTTTAAAACTCTACACATGATGTTACTACCTCTGATCTTATAAAAGATGTGTGAAGCATCTAGACCCCTTTCCCATCTACTTTGTTAGCGAAAGGATCTCTCCACGTCATAACTGGAGTCATTGTTTGGCCTTTTTGAGTAGTTTCTGTATGAGGTTATTACTCTGCAAATTAAAAGTGTGCATAAGAGAGGGAAAATTTGAAAAATACCCCAAACCTAGAAATTCCCCTAAGAAGTGTACGTTTCATTTCCAATTGTGGTGCCATTTTTACATCTTGCTGGAATGTTAAGGGGGGCCATTTTCTTTTTAAAAAAGGGGCTGGGTTCGGGGAATGAACCCATGTGTGTGAAAGCATGTCATCTGATATTTTTACTTTTCGTGTATTCATCTATTTGAGTTTTTAAAATTCTACGCGCAAATTGAACTCCTTGTTTCAGCAGTTAATGATATCATTTAAGTGACAATTTGTGGTTGGAACAGAGTGGAGTACCAGCTTCCGAATCTCATTGTTGGGGCGATTACAAAAGAAAGCTTGTACAAAGCTTTTCAAAATGGCATCAGTTCTGATCAGGCAAGTTGTAACCTTACTTATCTTCTTTTTGTATTATTTCAAATATTCACTTAAATTGGTTGTGAAAAATATAGTGATTACACTTGAAAGTATGTAGCGCATTATTTTTTGATAAATAGTAGTGGATAAATGTTGTCCATTTCCATAAACTTCTATTATTATGATAGAGAGCAGAGAGATCAAGGGGCGGGAACGGCTTGGGCCCACCTTCGTGGGCTGGTTGTGGGCTAGGGTTATAGTTTTATTTATTATTAGTAGACTATTTAGTAGAGTTAGTATGGGCTTAATTAGGATTTAATTAATTTGGGCTCGATTAGGGTTTCTCTTAGAAGGCTATTTATACCCCTTGCAGGGTTCATTCTTGATCATCTTGCAGGTTTCTCTTGGCACCCAGTGGGAGTAGCCACCCCTATTTTAGCCTACAGCTTCTCTAAGGGCGTATTTTATTGGGGGATTGTCTGGGATGGGAGGGGGGAGGGAAGTAGTGATTTTGGTTTTACTAATTTATCTCTATTCTGATAGTCTTAGACTAGAAAATTAGTCCATCCATTCCACAATCATGTTCCCACTCGTTTGTGACACATGAATTAAGAAAATGAAATTGAGTAATTTAGATTTGTTCAGAATGGAACGGAACAAGTGATGACAGATGCAGTAGTATATGTTTTGTTGAATCGTGTATAATCTTTCATCATAACTTTCTTCCTAACCCATATAAAACTATAAGACAAGTTAATCAATTAAATATCACCCATCTTCTCCAAATCCTCAAACCAAACAGGGCTAAGATTTGTTACATGCCGTTTAATACAATGGCTTATGAGTTATGATAATGAAACTAGCAGGTTTAGTTTGAAGTCCAATTTTACGAAAAACATACTTCTGATCTATGAATGATTTGCACAGATAATTTCTTTCCTACAACAGAATGCACATCCAAGGGTTGCTGAGAAAATACCATCTGTTCCAGAAAATGTCACAGATCAGGTATTTTTTCCATGAATAATGATAGGGAGACATTAGATGTGAACATTTTAGGTAGACTTTCCTATGTGCCACACATTAATGGGGTCATGATCACATATCTCACTTTTGTTCAGTCAATGAATGTAATCATGTGTGCCTGCGACATAGTAATATTTTCATAGTATGTATATTAAATGCCCTTGTATCTCAACTCGTTCTTCATTGTTACATGACACTGAATGTGTTCGTTGCGCAAGTTAATGGTTTTCATATTAGCACACTCCCAAGTTTGAAAAACGAATACTTTTTTCATGGTCATTTAGTGATAGTGATGTATCAATTGTGTTACAACAGATTAGGCTGTGGGAGTCAGATTTGAACAGGATTGAAATGACGCCAGCCCATATTTATGAGGAATTCCCCTCAAGAGTAAGCTCCACGCATCCTTATTAAGGCCAGCTCCTTGGTGTTGTTACTTTTAAACCACAAAGCTTTGTTTTTTCAAATCTTCATATGGTAAAATGAAAGCCCGTAACAATAATTCAGTTTTGAATTCCAATTGGCCAAATCACAATATTTCAAGTTTTCAACCTTGAGTTATTTGAAATAAGATTATTGGGCTCTTAATAAAAAAGAAGTATGACACCACCTGATTACCGAAATACATCTGCATCCGCAATTCGAGCCCTTCGTCCCATCCTCTTACACGGACTTTTCTTTTCTGATTCTCCTAAAATAACGTCAACTTTCCTAAATTAAACATTACTAACTTTTGATGTCTATTTTCTCCTTCTACCTATTGTTTCATCTTCTACTCTTTGTGGTGACCACATTACTTTCATTCTTTTAGAAGGCCAAAATAATACTCCGTAACACAGCTGTGATCTCCTTTGTTTTTTCAAAAATTGCGTCAATCCCAATGTATCCTAATATTATGAGACAGATGGAGGAATTAATTACCGAAAGTATTTCCCTCGGCTGACCTTTCAGTATTTTTTGTTCACGGATCGTAGATTTATATCATCAATGCAAAACATGCCAAGTTCTTCCAAATTGTCTCACATTGTTATTGGAGTTAATTACTTTTATTCACCCACAGGATGCTTTCGAGTCTGCTTGTGATTTTGCTAGAGAATATGGAGGACTGTTGTGGGAGGACTCCAAGCGAATGCGGATTATTGTAAAGGAAGAAATTCATGCTATCATGAAAGACTTTGTTCGTAAAAAGCAATAGGTTGTCGTTTAACTTTTTATGAATGTTGTTTAATCATTTCTATGTTCAGTTAGTCTCATTGGAACTTGGAACTCCAAACTCCAAAGTATGTGGACATCTTTTACCGTCTCTAAGAGTCCTAAGACTAGCAAAATATCTGAAATGTATACTTATTTGGACTTTTCATTTTTTTTGACGAGTACTTTCATTCTTGATATAAGCATTATTGCATTCATTTGACTCTTATAAATAAATAGGTACAAGAATTATAAATGGAAGATATTTTTTTCTGTTTTCAATTTTCTCTCTCTAACCGATCATAACATATAAAAATGTGAAGAAAGTCATCAAATATTCTTTTATACGTAGTGTTTTTCTTTAACCCCTCAAACTGTAATTGCCGAAACAAAAATATAATAATGGAGCACATTCATAACTAGATAAAAGGTAAAAAAGTTACTCGGCATATTTTGAAACTTCTTTAAAACAACATGTTTTCTTTTGGATGGTTTTCAATTTAGATTAGGGCTGGACTCGGGCCGGTTCGGGCCCGGTTCGGGCCTGGGCCCGGCCGGGCCTCGGGCCAGGAAAGGGAGGCCCGAGCCCGAACCGCCGGTGGCCGGTTCCGGTCCCGGTTCCGGGCCAAACCGGGCCGGGCCGGGCCGAACCGGCCCAATAATTTTTTTTTTTGTTCTCCTATTTAATCCCCTACCCCTCCCCCTCAACCCCAAATCATCCCAAACCACCTCAAATGGCCCAAAATACCTAATCCAACCTAAAACTTAAAAAAATTTCAAAAAAAAAAAAAAATTAAAATCCGGCCCGGGCCCGAACCGGCCGGTCCGGTTCACCAAAACCTGGGCCCGGGCCCGAACCGCCCAGCAGCCGGGCCGGGCCGAACCGAACCGAGGGACCCACCGGGCCCCGGGCCGGGCCGGGCCAAACAGTAACCGGGCCGGTTTCGGGCCGGGCCGCCCGGCCCGAGTCCAGCACTAATTTAGATCAAACATGATTGATTGGATCAGATCAAACTTAAATAAACTAGATAAGACCAAATTTAAATAGACTAGTTTGGATTTGGATAGTTATAAAATACACGGGCATCAGATATTATTTATAGTCATCAATTCACAAAATATAAATTATATCATTTAAAATACAAATTTACATGTTTAGTAATAAAGCACATAATTTCAAGATTCAATAATTACCATATATTTATCTCTTTTGATAACCTAAATTTTAGTTTATCAGGTTTCTCAATATTTTTTTAAGAACTTGTCGCTTTTGATTTTACGTGATGAATTGGATAATAATCAAAATAAGTAATGATGAACTTATTTTTCGGGTTGAATTTATTCAAATAACTGTAAAAAATCATTTTAGCTATTTTTTCATATTTTTTTTCTTTAATCTACTAATAAAATATGTTTTTTCATAATTCAGCAGATTCAACCAATCCAACTTCTGCCGCTAACATTTCATTAATTTTCAATAGATTCAACCAATTCAACTTCTGCAGCTAACATTTCATTTATTTTCAACCGATTCAATCGATTGAACTAATTTCGTTGTTATTAAAGGAAACCTTAATATACTCATATTAGTGCTTTTTTCATAACAATATATTCTGTAGACATAGTATTATTATAATCACTATTATAATCACTGATTGGAGAAATAATCAATAGATTTGGTGTGATATTACACACATACGAATTACTTTGAGTCATAACTCATAAGTAGGAACAAATATTTCTCCACATTTTATACGTTAGTTGTGTGTTAAGATAAATAACAAAACGATACATATAATATACATAGTATATTGCTAATATGTTCTTTCAAAAAAAATACGGAGTATTATACAGTGAGAGATTAAATGATTAATATTAATAATTAAATGTAGAATTATTATAAATGTATGATGATATTTGATATTTTGATTATATCAGCATTAAATGTTAAGTTACAGAATATTATTTTTTAATCATATAATTTATATCAATTAAATTTGGAAATACTACGTAATTCCCAATTTCTAAATCTTAATTCAGACCATGAGACCAAGAAAAGGTCCCCGCTATCCGCCTATCCCTCCGCACGGCCGCGGGCCGCACATCGCAAATCGGCGAGCCCGTGATTCCGAGTCGCAAGGTTGCAGACGATGCAGAGAGCTAGAGATGCTCAGTCTCTGAGACGCTCAGTCAAGCGCCGCCCCGCCGCCCGACTGCCTCCGCTGCCTGCTTCTCTGCCCTCTAATATGCTTGTGGAGACTGGAGTTATGGACCTTCTGCTTCTGATGACTCCCAATCGCCTTAGGTAAGTCGTAACTACTTAAATTTGTAATTGAATTTTTATTCTCATTTTTTATTTTTATTTGACCGTTTTAGTGTTCCACTATTCAAGTGTCTCACTAATAGTCTTTTACGGAGTATGAATTTGCAAAAACGAAAAATGTGAATTTTTGCTAATTTTTTTTGAATATGTAAATAATTTGTGTCATTGTGTGATTTGATTAGTGAAATCGAAAATTAGGATTGTGAATTTCTTAACGTATTACTAGTAATATTGATTTTTTTATTCAAAATAATATATTGATGATTTTGTAAATTTATGTCAATTTAAGTAGGTATGGCTACCCAAATCTACCTCCTAGATCTTCTAAAAAGGCAAAAACAACTCCAAATATTTCTCCTGTTGCAAGAAGAATTTGTTTCTGATGTGCTTGAAATTGAGCTGGATTCCGGAAAACGGAAAAACACTAGTCATTGGCCATTTGAGGAAAGAGATTATCCTTTACTATCCTTTTGTATGTACCGCTTAAAAATATTGTTGTGAATTTAAACAGATTTTTATCACTATGCTCAAACATTTTACTCGTTTACATTTTTTACATAGTGTTTTAGTTTACAATCGCCCCTTGAACTTCCGTTCTGGTTACGCCCCCTGCTTATAGCCTTATCACCACCACCCCTTCCATCATCATTATCAAGATCCTTAAATTCTTCATCATCATTATCATCATCATCATTTACCTCCATACTTGTTTATTTTCCGTATTTTTCCTTTGTTATTCATCTGATTCATTGTCGACTTCTTTGTGCAGCAGTAAGAGAACTTCTTTGTGCATAAGTTTGAAAAAAAAATAACGACACTGAGAGTTCTTAATAGAATGTATATAATAAAGTGTGAATGATTTTGTTAATGAAACAAAACTTGTTAGGGTTTAGTGTGGATAAATGTTTAATGTGTGGTCCGTTTATTATTTTAAATTAAAAAACTGGGCCTTTTATTGAATGAAAAAAAACTGGACCTTTTTTAGTTTTTAGATAGTTTCTATGGTACCCATAAGGTACCGTACCTTTGTTCACATGGACCAATGAAAAGGTAGCAGTTGAATTATTTAAATCTAAATTAAAATTGATAAAGTGATGTGGTCCAATCAAATGAATGCTAGGTACGGTACCTCTGTTTTTAGAAAGGTACCAGAGTTGTCACCTAGTTTTTAAGTTACAACCACATAAAAAAGATAGAAAGAAAGTAAAACTGCCTCAGAAAACCACTTCAAGGAGCACCTCAGGGCGTACACATTGACTTTTAAGGCGTAAGCCTCTTATCTTGCAAAAAAACTTAAGCCTCGAAACCTTCTCTGTACGCTTCACCTTGAGGCGGGCCTGAAAACCTGCCCACCCTGTAAGCGGAAACCAAACCCATTCATACTCTGCTGCATTGTTTTGCAGTCTTTTGTATCTATGTTTTCCTCCCAGGATTTTGAAATTTTCATTTAATTCAATGTTCTTCACTATTGGTACAAATAAGAATCATGTTTATGTTTCATCTCTTGTTTGCCTGTTTGAGCCAATCTGCAAGTCACATGATCACTTGAAGAACAATAATTAAAATTTTGAATTTGACATCTGGATGCTGCAAACAAATGCATGCGCTTCCATTGAGTTCTGTGTCAAAAACTCCAAAATCCATCAACCTGTACAGATTTGCCTGATCATCTTATGTGTTTTGGGGTTTTCTCCATAGCTTTGTGCTCTCATTTTCTGTGTGATTTATTCCTTGGGATTTAATTTTGACCGACTTCAATAAGAGTTATTCTGTATAATTTAGACGTAGGAATTCAGCCAAAGTATAACTAAATCAGATGATATCTCTCCAGCATTGCCCCACATCTCCTAACTCGGCTTCCTTCTATCTTCTTGCACTATTTATTGGGGATTATTGAAAGCCCAGTTAAGCTGTTGAGACTTAAAATAAAAGATTTCAAATCTCTATAACACATTAATATGGAAGCCTAAATTAGCCAAGTAGTAATTATATGTTGATTGAGGCACATTACAAGCATTCAGGCAGGAAGTTAATGATATTGAAGTGAGTTTTGGAAATCTAGCAGGATAAGATTGGTAAAATGACAAATAAGTTTTTAAAAGGGTTGAATGTCTTTTGATCACAATGTACATGGTTTAACTTGTGAGTTTTTTTGTTTTTTTTTTAAATAGGAAAAAAGAAAAAGGAACCTGTAATAAGACACTAGATAATTTTTTTTCTTGTTTTCCTTTGTTTTCTTTCAGGTGCGTGTGAACAACAAGAACAAATCATGCACAACAGTCATATGGAACAAAGGAAGATCCACAAATGCAGACCACACTAGAACACAATTGGAATAGATACGGTATATGACACACACAATGAAAGCTGTTACAAACTTGAAGAAACATTATTTTCCATCTAGAACCTCCTCCACTGTTAGCACACAACAACCTCTAAATCCCATTTTTTCTCACTGCAATCCTCAAAATGTTGGTGAAACTCATTTCATATCTTTAATCCATTCATCTGAATCCACCCTTAAGCTCAAATCCATCCATGCCCAAGTCCTCCGCCGCATCTGCCACAGTGCTGATTCAAGAATTACCACCCAGCTTATCTCCGCCTCTTGTCAGCATGGCTCCGTCAATTATGCCCTCTCAGTTTTCCAATCTTGTGATCAGAACTTGTTCCTTTTTAATGCAATGATCAGGGGACTTTGCAATAATTCGTGTTTCGAGAGCTGCATCAGGCATTTTAAGCTCATGTTAACACTTGGTGTGCAACCTGACCGGCTAACGCTTCCATTTGTGCTGAAGTCGGTTATGGGTTTGGGTAAAAGAGAGTGGGGGGCTGTAGTTCATTGTGGAACATTCAAAATGGGTCTTGATTCTGACTTGTTTGTGAGGGTTTCTATGGTTGACATGTATGCCAAAATTGGGTTGTTGGATCCTGCCTTGCAGCTGTTCGACGAAAGTCTTGAGAGGAATAAGGATGAGAGTGTGCTCTTATGGAATGTGGCAATTAATGGGTGTTGCAAGGGTGGGAAGGTAAGAAGGGCAGTTGAATTGTTCGAATCAATGCCAGAGAGGAACATTGGTTCTTGGAATAGCTTGATAGATGGCTTGATGAGAAACAGGGAACCCGACAAGGCACTCAAGCTTTTTGATGGGATGGATGAGAAGAACGTGGTTTCATGGACTACTGTGATTTATGGGTTGATGCACAATGGGCTTCATGAGAAGGCTCTTCAGTTGTTCTTTAGGATGCTGGATAAAGGTGTCAAGCCAAATAATTTGACTGTCGTTTCTGCTCTCTCTGCGTGTGCGAAAATGGGGGCACTTGAAGCAGGGATAAAAATTCATAATGACATGTTGAATGGTGGGTTCAAGTTGAATACTGCTGCAGGAAATGCTTTGTTGGATATGTATGCAAAATCTGGGGATGTCGAGTCTGCTAGTCGGGTGTTTAAAGGAATGAAAGTGAAAGATATATGCACTTGGGGTTCTATGATATGGGGTTTAGCAATCCATGGATGTGCTGATAAGGCCATTGAGTGTTTTGAAACAATGAACTTGTCAGGAATCATACCTGATGAGGCTGCCTTACTAGCAGTTCTAACTGCTTGCTCACATGCCGGAAGGGTTGATCAGGGTCTTAAGATTTTTAATAGCATGAGAGCTAACAAGTACTCAGTGATGCCCAGCATGAAACATTACGCCGTGATAGTTGATCTATTTGGCAGGGCTGGCCAGCTGGATGAGGCTTTGAGATTTATTGAGAGCATGCCAATGGATCCTGACCACATTGTATGGGGGGCACTTTTTTGTGCTTGCAGGTCTCATAAGAACATTGAAATGGCACAATTTGCCACAGATAAACTCCTAAAGCTTGCGCCAAAGCATCCCGGGAGCTATGTCTTTCTTTCAAATGTTTATGCCGGTGCTGGGAGATGGAGTGATGTCGATAGAATAAGAACTGTGATGAAGAGTAAAGATGTAGGGAAAGATCCTGGATGGAGTTCAATTGAGTTGGATGGTAAAGTGCACACCTTTAAAGCTGGGGACCATGCTCACAGCCTACGAGCACAGGAGGAAATATATTCAAAATTGGAGGGAATAATGACCAACTTCTGTTACGATTGATGGTTCCTAATGCACAGCTTTGGTATGTCATCAGGGAGTACATAACCAATGCAGAGGTATGGATTTTGCTGGCATCTGTTCCTCTTGTGTTACTTTTCCTTCACTTTTCCTGAAAGGCATGAAAGTAAAAATATTAAATGAAACAAGGGATATAGTCATTTTCAAAATTTTATTGACATATTGCCATATTGGTCATATATATGATGCAGGGGAGGTAGTCTGAGTTATCTCATTTTTCTTGTAGTAAATACCTAGGGATTTCTTAACCTCAGGCACTTTCCCATCTCTTATCAGCAGAATATACATTCTCTCCGTCCTGCAGAAACTTCATGTATTCCTTACATGGAAGTTAATCTCCACAAATACTCTTTTTTTGGGTAAACCTTTTCCATTTAAATATCATTCCATATAGATTACATTCTCTCTCCATCATTTCAACTACTTTGTCTTATCTCATCTTTTGCTCAGTATATTATATTTCACCCTCTATCTTTTCATTTAAGCTATTTATCTTTATAAGCTTGTCTTACATATCTTATAAGCTTGTCTAATCTTTATATCATTCCATATTTATCTTTATCTTATTCATTTTATCTTACTTTATTTTTTTATTTTTCATGTCTTTCTTCTCTTTTTGGTTCTGATATCATTGATCGATTCATGCTAGCCAAATCTTTTGGGAATAAGGCTTGGATGTTGTTGTTGTATCTTTATAAGCTTGCCTAAATGTACAATATTATATTTTTGCTTTTTATCTTTTCATATTACAGATTTCTCAGACTTCTCCTTATAAGCTACTCGAGACATACTCTGAACTTTGTTATTGGGCAGAGGAAGTATGTTTCTAAGAAATAAATGTGTATATCAGGGAATAATTTTTTGATAGATCAAAGGCTATAAGAGCATCCCCAATGGGGATGTGGATTGTACCTCATTAAAAATGGACAAGTCACTTGTGCAAATAGTCTATGAAGCTGCTAATGTGGACAGTGGACACAGACATTTAAAATAATATTTCCGCTCCAATGCAATCGTGTGTTTAAAAAATTACTTTTCCTATGAAGTACTACTTATTAACAGCCACAGTTTACTCGTTAGTATTACTTTTCTTCTACCGATCTTCTTCAAAACCATAACCTGAAAGTGCAGATGAAAGAGATATTAGTGATACCTACTTACCTAGCCATTAAAAGCAATAATCTCAAGTTGTACAATGTTTAGAACCCCGCATCTTCTTTAAAATTTGAAGAAGATTGGTCCGACTGCCGGATCCCGACCCGCCACGATGACAAGATCTCAAAACGACCGCTTGACAGATATGGTGGCCGAGCAAACTCGGATGAATCAAACCCTAGGAGCACGACATGCGTCTGGCAGAGATCGATGCATAACGGCACTTACCAAGGCGCTCATTCCACCAGTCACGACAGAAACAAGCCCGGACGCGGTTGGCAGCCTCACCGTATCTGCGCACAGCAGCAACGGACAGCCGCGCAGTGTCACTTCCTCCTTGGCTGCGCTCACAAAGGCTCTCGTGCCGCCAACGGCGGAGGAGCATTCAATAGCGGTGGCTTCACTTGACGCGGCAGCAGCATCTTCGTTCGGAATTGTACTGTGCAGCACCTTTCTCAGGATGTTGCCCTCGTTTAACGGAGAATAACCGATCAGTTGGGGGTTGATAGGGCTGAGCAACAGTTCGAATTGAATTGTACTCTGCTGGGAAAGAAGGTGGCAATCATTGTAGTTGCGATGGAAGGTTCAGCCCTATATTAGTTGACCTTGTTACGAGCACGAAACCCGGGCATGTCATGGAATGATTTTACACACGCACTGGTGGCTCGTTTTGACTCACGGTTTAAGGGCAATTGCTTTGAATGGCTGACCGGAGGCAAGCTGACAGGGATTGTGAAGGAAGGAGTACATCTCAATTTTTCCTAAAGATGCTAGGCAGCCCCTAGAGACAAATGTGAGCCGGTTTCTGGATTTCAACCTCGAGGACAAGGTTGTTTCGAAGGAGGATGGATTGATAGAGTGCAGAGAGATCAAGTGGCAGGAACGGGCTTGGGCACACCTCCGTGGGCTGGTTGTGGGCTAGGGTTATAGTTTTATTTAGCGTATGTTATGTTTTCTAGTTTGGGCCTATTGTTAGTAGAGTATTTAGTAGAGTTAGTATGGGCTTAATTAGGATTTAATTAATTTGGGCTCGATTAGGGTTTCTCTTAGAAGGCTATTTATACCCCTTGCCAGGGTTCATTCTGCATGATCTTGGAATAAAGTTGGATTTCAGCCTTTTGGCTCTTGGCAACGGTTTTTATCGTTGATTATCTGGGCAACAGTTTATCCCATGATTTTATTTTTCTGTTCACAACAGAGTGACACATGAATAGAGAAAATGAAATTGTGTAGTTCAGATTTATGGAGAATGGAGCGGAGCAAGTTATGAAGATGAAGTAGTATATCTGGAGTTCAATCATGTGTTATTTTTCATCTTCACCTTCTTCCTAACCCATGTAAACGTGATGAAAAATTAATAAATTAAATATTGTCTCTCTCGTATTAAACCCCCCAATAAACCACAAAAACAACAACATTATCCTAGTGCCGCAAAGGCTTCCACCTACGGTGGGGTAAGGAAGGGCCGGATGCACGCAGCCTTACCCCTTGTACTAAAGCATGGAGAGATTGTTTCCGGATGACCTATGATGAAAATCGCATTCAAAATTGCATGAACTGAGTGTTGCTTCGTAACAAAAAACGCAGACAGTTAGTGAGCCATTTTGCTTTAGTCCATCATATTCTCAAGTCAAAAAATAGTGAGTCTTTGGCTCCATTGGAAATGATGCAAATAAACCCCCCACCAAACAAATTTAAGATTTTTTTCACATTCCGTTTAATACAATGTGTTTTCATAATGAAGCTAGCAATTTTAGTTTGAATGTATGAATAAATTAAAATCTACTATTACCGAAAATCTGATCCTTTGTATGACATTGCACTAATAGTTTCTTTCCTTTAACAGGACGCACATTCAAGGGTTGCTGAGAATATACCTCCTGTTCAAGAAAATGTCACAGATCAGGTATTTTTTTCATGAATAGTAGACATTAAATGTGAACACTTAAGGGAGGCATTGCTATGTGCCAGACGTTCATTGGGTCAATGAATATATGCCTGCCCCACATGAATATATTCCTAGAATGTCCATATTTAATGTATTGTTCCTCATTTTTATATTCTTAACTTGTTTGCACAAGTTATTGGTTTTCATATCATCACTCTCAAGCTGGAAAAATTGAGATTTTTTCTCATGGTGACATAATGATAATAAAGTATCATTTATGTTATGACAGATTAAGCTGTGGGAATCAGTTCAGAATCTGAACAGGATCGAAAGGATGCCAGGCCATTTTACGAGGAGTTATCCTCGAGACTGAACTTCGCACATCAAAGCATCCATATTCTTTACTAAAGCCAGTTCAGTAGTGCTGTCTCTTTCAAACCGCGATACTTTGTTTTTTCAAATGCTGGTTTCGTAAAAGACTAAAATAGAAAATTGGTGCAGATTAAAAACTCACAACAATAATTCTCCGCTCATCAAAGCATCCATATTCCTTACTAAAGCCAGTTTGGCAGAGTTGTCTCCTTCAAACCGCGATACTCTGTTTTTTCAAATGCTAAAATAGAAGAACGGTGCACATTGAAAACTTACAACAATAAATCAGTTTTGAATTCCAAGTGGCCATATCACAACATTTCAACATTGAGTTTTGTGAAATAAAATCGATGGACACTTAATAAATAAGAAGTCTGGCACATGACTCGATGGCACATGACCAAAACACATCTCCATCCACAACACTCGTATGCTCCTCCTTTGTTCCATCCTCTCACATGACTTGTTTTAGGTTCGTCCTAAAATTAAGTGCATTTTACTAAATTAAGTATCACTGACGTTTTGATTTTGGTTTTATCCTTTTTTCTTTTAGTTCACCGTGTTCCTCTATGTGGGACCCACATTACTTCTGTTCTTTTTATGATTCTAAAATAGTTAAACAACAGCTATCCTCCTTCGTTTAAAAGCACATGCCAATCCCTAATGTATCCTCCATTAAGAGGCGGGTGGAGGAATAGTTTACCCAAAGTTTCTACTTTGCAGAACTTTCAGTATTTTTTGTTAACAGATCTATACTTTTTTATTATCATCAATACAAAACATGCCATGTTCTTTCAACTTTTGTTTCGCTTTGTTATTGGAGTTTACTATTTTTCCCCGTTTACAGGATGCTTTTGAGTCTGCTAGTTGTTTTGCTAGAAAATATGAGGACTGTTCTGGGAGGACTCAAAGCGAATGTCTGTTGTTGTGAAGGAAGAAGTTCATGCTGTCATGAAATATTTTGTTCGTCGAAAGCAATAGGTTTTTGTTGTGTGCTAATTTTTATGAGGGTGTTAGTTAATTATGTAGATGTGCTGTTAATACTCTTACTGGAACTTGGATGTATGTGGACATATTTTGGATTTCTGACTCTAGAAGAGTTGCAGAAGTCTAAATTGTACACATATATTCATTTAACCTGCTGAAGGATCATTGTGGAAACCTGAGAAAAAACTTGCAATTTTGTTTTATGAGTGTTTTTATTTGTGTTCTAGAGGCTTCACAAGTACCTTTGGATATCCCAACCGGCTAACTACACTCCGCCATAGGTAATTTAGGGGGTGTTTGGATCTGATTTTAAAACTGATTGCTCTTCCAGGGAGCAGGAGCAGAAGTTGGAGCGTTTGGGTGAAAGTGCAGAAGTACTTCTGGTGCTCTAATTTACTCCTAGAAGCAGTTTATTTAGAACGGGGGGAGACCAGTGATAGGGTGTACTAGTGATCAGTCTATTAAATATTTCAATAGAGTCTATTAAAGGAGGAATAATGGGGGTAGTTAGTTAGTTAGTTAACAACTAGCTATAAATAGAAGTTTGATAGCTAAATAAAGTAGGCTGTTGTTCAGTTGGGCTTCTCGAATAGTACAATTGCTTGTATACCTACTTTGATTCCTTCCTATTCAGTATTCGATAATACACTTCCTCGAGCTGTTCTTACTTAATTTCAGTAGAATTGTTACTGTTCTACTTAGATTTCTATCAGTGTTCTATCAACTAGCTCTTGAAAACTGATTCCGCTTCTGCTTTAAAAAAGAAGCAGAAGCAAAATCTGTCTGAAACACCCCCTTACTCTAGTACCCTCTAAGTTTGCAGTGCTTATTCTTGGTAAAATACACCATATAGCCGGATGTACTGTGCGCACAGTACAACCGGCCCTTTTTTTTTGGCTCTGCGCTTCTTCTTCAATCGATCTCGCTCTGGCCTTCTTCCCCCACTTCGCACCTAGCTTCGCACCAGCTTCAGATCTCGTCTGGTTCTTTGATCTGGCTTCGCACCTGATTGATTATATGCTCACCACTCGTCTCTTTCTCTTCCAGATCGTTGCTCGTTGTTGCGTCTCACTGCTCATCTCCTTCTCCTCTAGAACGGACACAACAGATCCTCCCTCTGTCTTTCTTTTCACTCTTTTTTTCTTCTCTTTTTTATGCAATTTTGGTGTTTGAGATTGTGATTTTGGAAGACAAAGGGAGCCTACTGCAGACAAAGGAATCCCTACTGCCATTCATCTCAAATGAGTTTTATATTAAACTCAAATGAGTATACACATAAAAGAAATGAACATACACAATTGAACATTAAGCACATTATAAATGAGTTTTATATTAAACTCAGATGAGTATACGCCTCAAAGAAATGAACATACACAACTGAATATTAAAAACATTAAAAATGTGTTTTATGTTAAACTTGAATGAGTATAACGTCCAAAATCAATGAGCATACACAAATGAGCTTTTGTATTTTTTGATACTCATTTTGTAAATTATGTATGCTCATTTGATACTGCTTTATGCTCATTTAAAATGATGCACATATCAAATATAATGCCCAAAATCAATGAGCATACACAAATGAAGTTTTGAATTTTTTGATACTCATTTTGTAAATTATGTATGCTCATTTTTTACTGGTTTATGCTCATTTTAAAATGATGCACATATCAAACATAGCATACTACATTAGATTGACATATTGAAATTAATTGTAAACACAATTTAAGAATTTTTTATAAACGAAAATTAATAATAAAAAAACTGAATTAGAAGATATGAAGCAGAGATCACACTGGTGCTCATTGTTAGGCTCCTAATACTCAGAAGAACAAACTCGATGCTCATCCAAAGTATATCAATGTTCATTTAAGAGAAACCATGAACATCATCAAATTTTCAAAAATGACACCGGTTGTACGGTGCCGCCGTGCAGCCGGCTGTATGGTATACGCTTCCCCTACTCTTCTGTTTTATATATACTCCGTTTTTAACGCATCTCACTTTAATGTTCTTAGGATCTGCCAACTCTTATGATTGTATCAGAGGTAAGTGTAAAATGTGAGATATTATTACATGTTAAGTTGCCCAATTCGCACCCTTCAAGGTTAATTATATACATTCTAAAATTGATATTTTACCAAAAAGTTGTATATGAATGCACAATTCTTTTATATATAATTTTATTGGTTTGTAGGATAACACTAAAAGAGGGAGGGAAAGGCACCACACGCTTCAACTCATATTTAGTTATGAATACTATTATACTAAAGAAAGTCATCTTATTTAAGAACATTTTTGAAAAGTATGTGCATAGATTTATGTCATTAGGACTGGATATGTTAACACCCCAAATAATATGCTGGGCAAGGCCTATCATTCCTGTAGGCTGAAACTGAAATTGTACATCGTGTTTTGCCTAATTTAATCACAATTTCAGGCAATATCCGGATAGATGTTTTTCTCATGACAAGAGTCTTGTTGATAACTAATCATGCAAAGAGGATTGATGAACCTAATTACTTAATACGCATGATCAAGCATTATGTTGTTGATAATCAGCTTGATGTAATATCTGATATATATATATATATCGATTAATCTATATATATATATATATAGTGTGCAATACATTGGAACTTTCAATCATTCATCAACAAAAGTAAAGGTAAAAAAGCTTTACATATATGGACAAAGAAAGGGTAACTAAATTGTTGCTGGTGATCTTATGTATTGTCCTGGTAAATGAGGTAAGCTAATGTAATGCCACAAGATATACATGAGGGTACGAATATATATCTGTTTGTAGTTCAAATAATAAGATACTCCGTATTCTCTAAAAAAAACAAAAGATACTCCGTATTCTATAAAAGTGCCAACATGTTCACAAAATGACCGCATTGTGGCAATAAGGTTACATTTATTTACTAAAAGTCATTGCATTATTTTATCAAAATGACCGCATTAGCATATTTTGAGTTCATTAGATCTTCAATGTAGTGTGGTGGACAAGAATCCCATTATCGCTGTCCTGCAAAATATTTCAGAATTCTTCTGGTGTTACCCCGTTTCTTTTAGGGTCCGATTATTTATGCCGTATCAGTATAAAACGGAAGATGATCGGGAAATTGCAAGGTTACATGTCTCGTTTGTATGATTATATATCATTTTTTAGCATTTGATTAATTCGTAGTGCAAGCTCAAAAAGAAAACCATATGTAGTATGCTTTTAATTTTTCAAGCCCAAATTTTCAATTCAAAAAATAACACCTAAAGTAAATATTTTAAAACCTAGGTTTCTATCACTATATTTTCTCACAACTAAATCAAATTATTTTGAATAAATTATTCACTTTTGCTTCATTTTGAATTATAATTTCAACATTATGAGCATATGTAATAACGTTGACCACATCTATAGTATAGTGACTGTTTAATGAACCAATTAAGCAATAATTTAGTAACATATTCTTTTTCCTTCATACCAAGGTTTATATACGGAGTATTTCGTTATGACGTATGTACACGCTCTCTAATTGATTGCCATTTTCAGGTGGAGATACTTAATGCTCAACAACTCAAAGCTTCTCTTATAGGTAACAAAAGCGTGTGTAACCAGAGTTTTTTTTTTTAAATAACCAAAGAAATTTCGATATATCAAAATTTAATATTACGTTGTCGCTACTTCATTCAATGCTTATTAGTTACTACTTTTCATCCGTAAATAATGAAAAATATATGATGAAAGTAAATGTAGGGGACACAGTATAATTTTTTATACTTCATGTTAAGGTTTACATTATAATATTAATGGTTGAATCATAACCTTTATCTTAATAATATTTTAAGAAAACTCTCCTGAATATACTAAAATATTATGGAATATCACTCTTTTAGATGCACCGAGTAGTAACTTGAGTCACATGTTTTATTTAAAATATAGTACATCTAGCTACCTTGAAATATCAGGCTCTTTTTACCTCTACTTTGAGGAATACTCCTTATTCCAATGAGTAGTATTGGCTCTGTTCTACTAACGTTGGGATATGAGAAGGTGATACGGTATTAAGCAAAGTTAATATATGCGATTGATATTGGATTAATGAAGTAAGAATAAAGTAAGATTAATTTAGAATCCCAGAAATTTGACCAAATTTAGTACTGTATGAGATAACTTTAGTGGGACGGGCTCAACGAAAAGGAAAGATGTGACATTCTTAGCGGGACAGAATTGAAGAGTATCTATTAAGATATTGAACAACAATTTCTGAACAATTTAGTACTTCCTCTGTCCTGTTAAGATGGTTTCATCTTTCCTTTTTTGATATGTCCCACTAAGATTGTATCATATCAAATTTGGTAAGATTTATGTGGTTTTAAATCATTCTTACTTTATCAATTCAATATCAACCATATAAACTCATCTTTCTTAATAACCATGTCACCTCTTCATGTATTAATGTTAGTGGGATGGAAGTAGTGCTAGGTATACTTAATGTACTGTATCAGTATGTTTATACTACCTTCGTTCTTAAATTAATGCAACATGTGGAATTTTACACTATTTACATGTTTTACTTTAATTACGTTTTATTTGTTAATGTCTTAATAATTTTTTTTTAAAAAATAACTTGTTAAATTCGTTTCATCCTAAATTTTCAAAATCCGAGTTTTTTTAATTTTTTTTTTAACTAAAATAGAATTAAATATATTAATATTGAAAGTTGATTGTGCACTGGTAAACGTGAAAAGTTGGTTGTTGCATTTATTTAAGAACAGATGTAGTATATTGGAATATTAATTATAAGTAGGTATACATATATATGGTGCAGATTGCAAGTCAAAATGCAATTATCGTTGCAGCAAGGCGTCGAGGCATAAGATGTGCATTAGGGCATGCAATACTTGCTGCCGGAGGTGCAATTGCGTTCCGCCGGGGACTGCTGGGAATGAGGACGTCTGCCCTTGTTATGCCAACATGACAACCCACGGCGGTCGACACAAATGTCCCTAATCCACTGCGCTGTCTGTAATTACATATACTCCGTAGTATCTACTCCATCGATCATATACGTAACATACTCCATATTATGTTATATACTCCGTATATACGAATTATATTCAAACTATACATCGATACAAGTATGTCATTACTACGTGACAAATAGATAGGATGCAGCATATATAAAAGAAGGGATCGAAAACTGAACTTGTTTTTGTTACGCTTTCATGTTTATTTGTTTTTTTTGTATCTCCCGACCTATTATCGTTTGTGATTGTGTCATTAACTAGTATTTGTACCCGTGCCGTGCACGGGATAAAATCATTTTGCTTTTGAGTGGATATACTATACTGCATGTATAAATCTCCAATAGCAATGGTAATTGATTGTTTTTGAACTAATTATCTACAATGCTTCCGGACTATATTTTCTAGAGAAAAGGACAATTTATTTATAACTCCCGATTGCATCTAAAAGAAATTAATCCTTTTAACTCTCTTTACTTTAACAAAAAAATGCTCAATGCCTGTTTTTATCCATTAAATTTCATCTGTGACTTGGTGTTTTGTTCAAAACTAATACTACGTATATAATTACACTTTTTTGTAATTTATTTAT